CATTGTGCAAAAGAGTGTCTTTAGCATCTTTATTGATACTGGCGTGTAGCTTAGTTCATTTGTCCTGTAATTTCTTCGTCAGTCTCTCTTGCAAAACATCCTTTTTTCCTGAATGAGACTGCCTGACTTCATGTGTTTTGACTAGCTTACTATTTTCCTGTCAGCTTTGGTGTTTGTTCTTAAACGTGCTTAAACATGCAACGCATAAATAACCTGCATCATTGCCCCTCTGCAGGCCTGGAGCGTGACAAGTTTGACAACAAGACGGTGACTTTTGAGGGGCACATCAAAGAGGAGCACAACATGTGGCACTACCTGTTCTTTATTGTGCTGGTAAATGTTAAGGACTCCACTGAATATACAGGCCCAGAAAGCTACGTAGCGGAGATGATCAAGGTAAATAAAAAGCACAGACACACCCTGAATACGCGCATCCTGATCAAACTTCTTATTGCAGAGTCAGACTTGTAAACATGTACAGGCGTGTTTTACACCTTCAGACAATAATGCGTTCCTCTTGTCTAACCCTAACTGACAGACATGCAGGTCATGCACGTTAAATGACATAAACAGAATGGTGCCGACATACAGGAATACTGTATTAGAGGGTACATTAGTTGCACTCTAACCCTTAAACCAAAGCGTGAAAACAATTCCTTGATCAACGTCTTTTACTGTTACAAGTGCAGCGATGGTCAATGCCCTGCACAATTTTGAGTTCAGATGTAAGCCCTCTGTTGACTGCAGCGCCAACCTCATGAAATGACTTATTCCTTTTGTTTTATGCTCTGTCAACCGCAGGAGCACAACCTGGACTGGTTCCCGAGGATGCGCGCCATGTCACTGGTGAGCAGCGATGCCGAGGGGGAGCAAAATGAAATCAGGAACCTTCAGGAGAAGCTTGAGACGACCATGAGGCTGGTTTCTAACCTGTCTGGACAGCTGACTGAGCTCAAGGAACAGGTAGAGAATGAGACCATAAACCATGCACACCTTAACTTTGTAGTATATCTCCCATGATGTATTTATTTTCCCTGCGTCTGAGACGGTACAGCCATTGGCAGGTCATAGACGGCCATTGGAAGGTTATAGGCCACCACATTATGATGAAGACTAACAGCGGATTGGCTGCTTACTGTTCTACAATCACCATTATGGAACTAGTGACTCAGACAGCTTAAGCTAATACCTAAAGTGGTTTATTTTCAGTATTTTGCTGCTCCTCTTTTTGAATGGGTTTGTTCATGTACAAGTTAAAAATACACAATATTTAGTCACATTGTGCAATGATAACTGCCCTTTGAAAAGGTAAAAAAAAACTCACTTGGGAAAACCACTTTTCTTGGCAAAAGAATTCTGCCAAATGTTCGATGAGACCATCAATACCACTCTCGTATCCGTTCAGTCAGATACTCATTAGCTTAGCTTATCATTAAGACTGGAACCAAGGGGGCAAAGCTGGCCTGGCTCTGTCCAAAGGGAACAAAAGAACATCTACAAGCCCCCCTAAAGCTCATTAATTGATAACTTTTTTTGTATCTGTATGAATCCTCCATTGTTTTCAAGATTGCAATGATCTTTATACTACCCTTTTTCACACGCAGATGACCGAGCAGAGGAAGCAGAAGCAACGAATTGGTCTTCTTGGTCATCCCCCGCACATGAACATCAATCCACAGCAACCTGCCTAAGGGCCCTTGGGGCCAGTATCACCGGTGCCTTCGCACTTCTGCCTGTGCGCCACATGTTATACAGGAGAATGCCAAAAAAATGTCCGTCTCCAGTATTTATTTAGGTTGATGTCAGACTGCGTACTACACCACAAACTCCTACGATAAGTGTTTGTACATGCCTGCTCCAGAGTGTCCGTGTGAAGTGAAAGTTATGAGTACGTTACTGGCAGCCTGCAGAGTGGATGTGTTTGTGTGGGCGGAGTGTGCAACAAAGTGCCTCGGGACCTGACAAGCAAGTCCTCTGGGTTTAGAAGATGAAAACACTGACTTCACCATTACTAGCCGAAGTGCCCTCTGCATCGCACCAAGCTGACAAGATGCCAAAGTTCACACCTTGTTCCTGTTGAGGTGTTGCTCTCATGTGGCCTTTTACTGACGTTTTAATCCTGTGTTGCTCCAGCAAACTCGGGTCACTAGTATATTTAAAGGTTTGTATGAACTTTGCGACACATTTTGCTTTTGTCCGACAGCAATAGGAATACTTAATGATATGCAATGTCGAAATAAGAATAGACTATTTTTGGGAACTAGTATTTGATTTCAAATAATGAAATTTGAAATATGGAGATAAATGAAAAAAACAAAAAAGTTTTTGTTCCGTTCATTATCACTTTAGCATTTTGCAATCTGAAATGAAGGTTCTTTTTCCTCCAGGACACTTGAGATTAAAAAGGCTTTTGCGGGGTAACAATGCTGACCTGTAAGTAACCTCTCTATGACAAAGCCTGGACCGCCCGTGAAGGAGGAGCACATCATGTGACTGCTTCACTCTAAAGCTGGTTGCATGTTGTGCTTGACGAGAGCAGTGATGTGGAGTCCCATCGAAAGCATAATGTAGAACTCAAATGAATTCGGGAGAAAATTTAGATCGTTGCTGAAATTAGATATTAGATTTCATATTTGGCACTGAATTATGTAATCTGTCATTAATTTAGTCCTGAGGCACTAATATTTTCTGTAGCGCACACAAATAAGATCCACTTGAGAATGACTGAGTGTTTGAGCATCTGCGAGGGGGGAAAATAGTAGATTAGTTATTTGGAGTGCTGCTCGACCAAACTGAACTTTTATAGCGGTGGATGGTTTGTGTCCAAATTGTACATCCTATTCATGAAGTCTATTTAAATAAATGAGTGTGTAAAACAAAGAGCGTCTGCACGTTGTATTATGTGTTTATCCGCTTATTGGCTTAAAACGTCATGCTTCTAGCATGGTAAGGTCAGATGGAAGGGAAAGGAAGTCCATTTGGAGCTTGCCGGCAGATGAACTCTGTGTGTCTGTGGTCATCCACAAATGATTAACTAATTAATCATTAACATTCAAGCAGTGCCAGTGGTCTTCTACTTGTATATCACACAATATTGTTTGCAATTTGTTAAACATTTAACATCAGACATTTTAACATTATGAAGAAAATGTTGTTAAAGTAAATAGAAAATACCTTTTTTGTTGCTTACAAACCATGTCAAGCTATAGAAGTGAACTAAAACAAATGTGCCAGTATAAGGATTTAAAAAAATATATATATTTCCAATTTAATCGTGTTATTTGTGCGTTAACCACGTTCCCACAGCTTGTTTTTTTATTTAATTAAGGCTGCATCTCTGTAACCATGGGTTAAAGTGATATTGCAATTATTGAATCCTGTTGCAAGCCACATTTTTATTTAATTATATTCCAGGAATTTTCTAACAGACCTTTGTTTGTTGAACACTTCTGAAAGATACTTTTCTGAAACTAAAAAATCTGTTGATGAAAACTTTGTCGTCAGGTCGGATAGCTCTTAAAAGAATTGTGACAGCTGCCGCTTTCTTACTATTTTGAAGATGGGAGCTCAATCATCAGGACTATTAAGTGAAAACCCTTAACAGCTAATATGTGCAATATTTATCTCTGGTGATCCAAATGTTCTAGCTTTTGATTAAATGAGAAGTAACAACTCTCTCTGCCTCATCTGGCTTATGAGAGAACATTGTTTTGTTCCTGTCTTGAAAGGGAAGGTTTCGAAAGTAACAAGATTCTCCTTAAGCATGATTTCATATGATACAGTTAATGCAGAGAATTTGCTCAATGGATTTTCTGACATTTTGGGACAGATAAATTGAAAACTTGAAATTCCACTTCAGCAATAATTGTTTAAAGTTAAATGAAATACCAATCCAGCACTCAAAGAAATAAGTCATTGGAAGAACTATCTATTTGTGTGCAGGATTTCCTATGTAAGAACTTTCATGAAATAGGATTAAATTGATTTAGTCCAACTCATTTTGATCAAACGAATAGATATCAGTAATCAAATATTCGTTTCCACTCAATCTGCACCTTGACCAGAGGAAAAAGTAATGGATATTAATGGGATTTATTATGCTGACTCTTATTGACCTTGATAATCTGTCCTTGTGCAGCAAACGACCTGTAATTGTTTGGAACTGTCATTGTATTTGCCATGAGAAGATAAAACCCTATTGTGTTCTCTTTATGAAAATATCTAGAAAAAATAACGTTATCACGGACCTCCTCTAAACACGTGCATAAGGATTTATAGATGTATGCTGTGTAAAGAGATTTTTGAGTGAGGAATCGTGACAATTCAATGTAAAGGTGCTTTGGGTCTTTATGCACCTTTTTCTCTTGCAAATGGCAGCGAACCACCGAGGTGCGTGCGTGCGTGTGTGTGAGATCTGAGGTTATAGACCGCATTAGGCCGCCGCCGTGTGCTGCATGCGCCCCGCGTGCTCAGCGGGCTGCCGGGGCCATGAGATCAACGTGACAGTCTGCATCGCCTCATGACAACAAAGCCACCGCGCACTCTAATCCACGCACATGGTGCACGTGTATTACCAATTTATCAGGGTCTGATCTAATCTCAACTTTAACTCAATAAAATTGTGATTGCAAAACAATAAAAACAAATGCCGCCTGATAAAACGCGCGGTACTCCTTTGTAGCATCACTGCGCTGTATCAGTAATAACAGTTCTACTCCACCAGAGGGTTTGCATTGTGTTATTGTACATCTCCCCATTGTACACCACCACTCGGCTCCCGTGTCTCAGGCCCGCCGCCAGCCGCCGACACGTTCCCTGCGGCGTGGCGCGCTCTGCCCGGTTAGGATGCACATCAGCGTGGTGGTACACGGGATGGGACACGCGCCGCCCCCCTGCTCTGACGTCAGCCGCATTCAGCCAACCAATGGGCCTCGCCGGCGCACAGCGGGCCGTCCCTCCGCCGCCGAGACAGCGCCGCGCAACACGTGAGCCTCATGTGCGGGAGGTGGGTCAGGCGGAGCGCAGAGTCAGAGGGTTTATTTAACTCGTCGCTGTGTCCTCCCCCCTCCCACTTCCCCAACGCGCCACCAAGAGGGTTTGCCTTTCTTCCACGTCAGGACTACGGCGTGGAAAATCGCAGGGTCCAACCCGAAACTATTTTCACGCGTAAAAACACCGTTTATAACGGTTCGATTCCGCTTTGCCTTTTGGACGCTGCAGATTATATATATATATATATATATATATATTTCTTGCGGCATTTCGGTATATTTTACGAACTGCTCCCACCCCTGTCAACCTTCAGAACTCTTGAATACATGCGTTTGTATTTGTAACCTCATTGGAGAAATTGAATGCGATTGGATTGAAGAGAATGGAGCGAATCCCCAGCGCGCATCCGCCTCCTCTGTCCAAACTCCAGGTGGATCCGTCCGACTTGCTGGGGTAAGTTAGACTTTGAAAAGCGTTTCCTCAAACGCACGTACCCATTCTGCTAATGTTCTGTATCTTCACCTGACCATTAACTATCCTCTTTGTCTTCCTTTAGGATGGATTTTCCGATGTATGTTTATAAACCCAGACGAGGAATGAAGAGAGGAGAGGAGAGCAAGGTCCGCGATTATATTGTTTATTCAGTTACAACCACATGTTAATTAAAGGAAGTGAACTTCCAGGAATGCATTTAGCTAGCCAAAGTCCCGTAGTACCATAAATGGTTGACCTAGTTTATGTTATTACATAACTCCTCTCATCATTAAGAGCTAATTATATCCGCGTGCGTCTGGGATCCGCTCAATTGAACCGACCGTGCTGTTTATTCTCGCAGGAAACCTACAAGCTGCCTCACAGGCTCATTGAGAAGAAAAGGCGTGACCGGATAAACGAGTGTATCGCTCAGTTGAAAGATTTATTACCGGAGCACCTGAAACTCACGGTAAGTTTGGGCTGTGGCCGGGAGGGAAAAACGGGACACCGAGTGTCAGGCGCCGCCTAGTGGCCGCGCGTGGGTATCGCGTCCTCTCCGGCTCAGTGCGTCAGCAGCTCACACTGAAGAGGACGTGTCTTCTGTCACGTGCCTTGGTTTAAACTGGGTAGTTTCCAAATTGTATTCAATCCAATAAAGAACAAAACGTAACTTTCAGTCAATCAGACTGCACATGAAATACATAGAATCGCATATCAAATTGTATATGTTGCCCTTAATTTTTCCCTTTTACTGCGGCTGTTGTAGAATTTTGCTGGTATGACCGTCAACAGGAGCAGTAAAGTGTAGATTCTCTGTGTTGTATAACAGTTGAAGATGTGCTGACTGCGTGTCTTTCTCACAGACTCTGGGCCATCTGGAGAAGGCTGTGGTTTTAGAGCTCACGCTCAAGCACGTGAAAGCCCTCACCTCTGTTCTGGAGCAGCAGCAGCAGAAGATCCTTGCTCTGCAGAACGGCATGCAAATTGGTGAGCTACAGACCACTGACACACAGCTGCTGTGCACTCACAAAAATACTCATGCGGCAGGATGGGTTTAGTGGAGAGCGAGCAAATGACCAAGATGAATAAACAATGGAGTGATTATCTAGAACTACAGGCAACTAAGTGACTTCAAATATAGTTTCATTCATTGAAAAAAGGACACCTGTGTCAAACGGCAGCACTTCTGACTGTGGTTTCTTGTTTCTTTACAGATCAGCCTGCTGTCAACCAGGAGAAGTCAGAGGAGATGTTTCGCTCTGGCTTCCACATTTGCGCCAAGGAGATGCTCCAGTATCTGGGCAATCATGAAACTGATGGAGATTTCGCACCATCCCATGTGATCACTTACCTTCATAAATTGGCCGCAGAGGTGCTGCAAAGTCCGGTCCAACCAGGAACTCCTCCCAGCTCACAATGTGAAGAAATTCCTGCCTACCACCAGCACCAACCTAACAAGGAGACGCCCGCCGGCTTAGCCCCTAAACCCAGCGAGGGCTACGGCAGGAACTGCGTACCCGTCATCCAGCGGGCGCACGCTCCAATCAGCAGTGAGCAGAGCGGCAGTGATACGGATACAGACAGCGGCTATGGTGGCGAGCTGGAGAAGGCTGATTCCGGGGCGCAGCAGGGACGCCCAGATTACTACGGTCATGAGAGCCAGCTGAAGCGAGCGCTGGGCGAAAGCCAGAGCTCCAGTATCAAGCAGGAGGATGAGGAGCCTCGCCAAAAACGCCCCCGGGCGGAGTCGCCAGAGGACGAGCCGCTCTCAGGGAGAGAATCGTCAACCTCATCGTCCTCCAGCAGTTATGGCAGTTACATGAGCGTCTCCCCCAACCGTCCAACTCCCCCGCTTCCCCTCTGCATGCCTTTCTACCTCCTTCCACCTTCTGCTGCGGCCTACCTGCCAATGCTGGAGAAATGCTGGTACCCCGGGGCCATGCCCATGCTCTACCCTGGCTTGGGAGGCTCTGCAGCCGGGATGCAGAACGAAAGACCGCTTCCACCTCAGCTGGTAGTGTCTCCCGGTGGGGGCTCACCTGCCCCAGCCGTTGCTCAGACCCCCATGGACTCCCCTGCCCTCCTTCAGGCGTTAAAGCAAGTACCACCCCTCAACCAGGAAGCCAAAGACTGAGAGAATAGGGCGACGAGGTGATCCTGTTCTAGTGCCCAGGAGTTGAGACTGTGGTAGGAACGAAAAGGTGGCCGAGCCTTTTCATAACCCATCCGCATTCCTGTTCTCCGTTCCTCAGCCTGGAGTTAAAACTTTAAGCTGGAGGACTTTTATATATGATCAAGAGGAGATGGAGGCGAAAGCTACATCCGTCCACACTGGCAGAATGCAATGCTCTGATGAATGTTAAATGCCCAGTGGTATAAATGTATCGTATAAACTGGACCTGCCCTACATACACACACACACACACACACACACACACACACACACACACACTTGGTTGAATGTAAAGAAAGATACGTTTTAGATGCTGCTATTAAAGTTTAAACGCCAATGACTGATGCATCTTGTAGCTGCGATAGAGACACGCCATCTTTGTACTTTAGAAAGTGTTTCACCAAATGTTTTGTGGTAACCCTTCATCCAAAGTTTGTTGACCATGTCCTTTAGGTCACCATCACGCTCATTACTGAGAATGCCCTTTGAACCCTTTGACACTATGATGACTGGCATCATAAGATACACGGATTTCCTCAAATGTGGACATATATGAGTGAAGGTACACCCAATGAATGCATGGATGTAGACATGGGCCACCACATGACCACAAATAATGACAAGTCAAACAGACCGTTCAGATGGATTTCCTGTAATTATTGTTCATAGCCTTCTTGTACATTTCTATTTTTGATACCTGTTCTTGCACTCGGTCCATTAGGAGAGATGGGAAGTGGGCAGAGTGCAGACAATTGTACGTTGTGTACTCAGAAAACTGTGTACATACTGTAGCACTGTGCTGGACCTGGTCTGCAAACTCAACATCTGTTTCTGCTCAAGTCAAACCTGGTGTTTGTTTGTGCTGTTGCCTTTTACTTGTGAAAAGTAGATAAATCTCTCAGATGTTTATTCTTTGTACTATGAATGAGTACTGGAGTCAAATGGGTGAGGAGAACAGAAGTTGAATGTAAACGTTTTACCAGAAGACTAGTTTTCTATAGAAAGAGGTACATGAGATTTTATATTTTAGGACCTACGTGAAAGATGTTTGTTGTACATATTTTGTCTATAAATGTTGGTATACATTATAATAAGTGTAATAATAAAGTATTTTTTTTCCGTGGAAAATTGCCAGTATGTATGAAAGATAAGCAGAGTGTGTGTTAAAACATTTAGCAATGAAATGCAAACAGTTACTTCATAATGTCACAAAATGCATGTCACCGATAACACTTACGGAACGGCACATCTGTTGCCTGGTTCTCCTGCTGGTAAAGTGTACGTGCACACTAACACGACATGAAGTGACAACACATGAGCGTAAACCGTTCCAGTTGAGCTCCTGAGGCAATCATCTGGATCCATCTGCTTCTAGTCAGCAACATTTTTATTGGCTGGAAATAGCTAGTTTAACCAATTGCCATAATCAGATGCTGCTTTAAATAATTTAATCATAATTTCAGAAGTTGGACAATTGAGGCCTAGAGTTTAAGATGCTTAAGCATCTTAAGCACGTCATACTTGCCACTCCTCATTGTTTCCTGTCTGTTTCTATTCCTGTCCATCTTATGAAATAATATTTCTTACAGTTGGCCAATTTCAGTACTTGATTTGGAGTTATGGACCTCAGTAAAAAGGTAGTAAAAAAGTTTAAGTTTAAAGTTACTTTGTAATTTTAACACATTTTCCGCTCAGGTAAGTTGCAGGTAAATGAATTGATTTGAATGGAAATTTTTCAGGAAACTTATGTTGGCAAATATGTGGCAACATCTGGGTAATAACTGACAGGCTTTTCTGCTAAAAAGGCTTTGGAAAAGAATGCATCCTGATCATTTAGCCTGTGCTGCCACCTGCTGGCCATTTTAAATACCTATATCCCTTTGATTATGTATCTGCCGAGCATCAAACCAGATGTTTTGTTGTACTATTTTTTGTCACAGCCACCTTGAAATATCTACAATACTGGAAACTTTCACTTTTAAATAACTTTTTTTGATTTGTTTCTGTGAAAATAAACTTCAACACAGTCACAACATAATTGTAAAACATACAGATATAATTACAGTTTAGTCAGCTAAACTCAAACATTATTCAAATTTAACACTATAAATGTTTGTTATGTCTGATATTTAACTCCTGATAGTGTGCCACAATGTAAAAGTATTCATATTTCCGTTGTAAATTTAAGGCCTGTATGTGGATGACTTGAAAGAGTCTCACCTCTGCCACTCACCCTGATTTTCTCAAGTTTCTACAGACAAAACCTGATGCCATTCAAAGGATTACAATGATTCTACAAGCAAATAGGTTGTGATTTAAATATTTTATTTGTTGCTCATCAGGCTCCGGTCTCTTTGACACTTAATACCGATCATTTTCATGTTCCTCCGTGCAGCGGAATAACTGACGCTTGTGGACACTGTGGTGAAAGGACAAGTGTGGATTACGACAGGCAGTGGTACCAGACACAATGCTCGGTTGCAAGCTAAAGACCTCCATGGTAGGAAGAGGGCCCGGGAGTGAAGGAAAGCCCCTAATAGGAGATCTCTGTTGGAGTTTAAAAGCTGTCTGGGGAAGAACGGATCTGGAGACGAGTGGTTGATGGCCTGTGTTGACAGGAGGGCTGAGGGAAAAGGAAAAGCTCCGTGGGACCAGAGTTGCTACTTTGGCACCAAGGCCCAAACCCAGACGTCGAGCTTTTCTCTGAGGTTCAGTGTGTACCATCGAAGGGTGTTCACACGGCAGACTGCGACAGGCGATGTCAACACAGGAGGTGTTCTGGATATTTGTCCTCCCCTCTCGTTCCCGCTGAAAAGATGTGGTCAGCTGTCTGTTTTTCTCTTCAGCGGTGTGCTTCTCCTTGCCTGAGTGGCAGAAAGCGGTGAGTGCGTACCTCTGACTCGATGGTTTTTGTGTCATTTCAACTTTTTCTGACAAAGACCGGTCTGGAGAGAAATGGATAGCGAGAGTTGGACTAGAAAAAACAGTTTGTTTTTGAAGTCGGTGTCTGGATCGCCGTACGGGGGCTCCTTCCACCAGCAAGTTCACTCCCACATACGGAGGAACTTCAACTGCAGCCTGGAAGGGTGATGAAGGAAGACTTCTATCATTCAAAGTAATTCACCTAGAAATGAACGCCCTTTGCATGTTGTGTAAATACATTCTGACCTGTTTGAAGATTAGCTGGAAGCCTCCTGTGTAAGCACTAGGATCCGTCCGTCTGTCCAGCACCACCCTCAGAATGTCCAGCTGCACAGCTGGGCAGAGGCGAGCGGTCACAGAAGTGGAGCAGGCCATAGTCGGACTGGCGTTGATCTCCAGGAGCCAAGGCTTCAGGTCTCGGCCCAACACAAAGTCGGCTCCGTAGAGCTCAAAGCTCGCCTTGCGGGGCTCGACCAGGTCTTGGGCTGTCTGCAGGGTACGGACCACTGCTTGCTGCATGCCCGTGACCACCACTGACTCCCACTCTGCCCCACGGCCCTGCTGCTGAAGATACGCCCTAAACTGACTGCACGACCACATATTTTCCACCGGCACTGCAGGATGGCGCTCAGAGGACGGCTGAAAGTGCTTCTGGATGGAAGTGTTGCACAGGTGGACGGAGCTGATGAAAATAACGGAAGTGAGGCCATTAAGGTGGTAAGTGTTAAACATGCATTGAAATGTTGAAAAGTGAAAGTAAATAGTACATTTTTCTCTTTTGTCTGACCTGTCCAGAGTGTTTGTTGAGTATGGCTGGGTGGAGAATCGCAGGTAGCACTCGCTGTAGAACCAGACCGTCAGAGGGTTCCAGTCGGTGATGAGGAACCACTGACGGATGTCGAACTTGGTGCCGTGGACCAACAGAGGACATTCAACGTATTTCTGAACCACCCACTTACTCTCTGTCAGGGCTCTGTCACTGTCCACAAGTGCCAAAATCTCCTCCAGACGATTTATACACATAATACCTGGGTGGTTGGGGGGAAATGGAAGAGGAGTAAGGACCCACAATCGGCTTAACCAAATCAAAACTGCATTCAACATTCCTAAATAAATACTAGGCTCACTTTTATTGGTCATACTAAAGCTATAAGCTATGTAGGGACCATTATTATAGTTATCAATCGATGATTATGTAACTATCATTATTATTTTCTTAAAACCTCACCCCGTCCTCTCGACTTGGCACCTGGTTTGATGATCCAGATGTTTTTTAGTCCATCAGTATCCAGCTGAGGGCAAGCCTCCTGCATTTTGTTTAAAGTGGCCTGGCAGCGCTCCACAAACACACTGCTACCCCTGATCAATGCACCTTTACTATACACAAACATTAGACTCACACAATGAGTTAATTCACTACATATTACTATCATGCTTTACTCCAGAAAGGTATTTATGTAACAGTACATACATAGACATCATGTTTATTCCCAATGGAAAAGAATTACAAAAATATGAATTAAGAATTATGAAATATGTCTTTAATGCAAACTTACTCTATAATTAACATCAATCTGAGTCTTAACATTAATTATAGATAGTGTTGTATAAAGCCATGCACATATGTATGTGGTGTATGTATGATAAGATATTATCAGTGCTGAACCTCATCTAATAAAACGGTAGTTTTACCTAAGTAGAAGAATAAGAAGCAAACCCAGGAAGCTCCTGGAAAACACACTTACTGCACAACCATGTAGTAGTCCTGCAAAAACTCCACCCAATGTTGCTCTTCCACTGAAGCCGATGTTTCTACGGTAACATCAATGTCTCTGTGATCTAAAATATTGAGAAACTCTTGACAGACGTGCAAAGCTGTGTCAATCAGCTCCGGACCAACAAATCGATGCTCCACATTATCTAAGTCTGTGTAGAAAGAAAACATATCGGTGTCATAGAGTCATGGCCATGTACCATCTGTTTGGGGCATTTTTTTTCTCCTCACCCTCTGCTCCATCTCTCCTCCATCTGCTTGTCTTAACCACATGCTGCAGCAGGCTGGTGCATGCTGTCTTCCTGAAATCATCTTCATTGTCATAGAAAACAGAATGAGATCTCAATAAAGAGAGAAAGGGAATTTAGTTTTGTTGATTGTGAATCACGGATAAAACTACGAAAGCTCCTGTGACGAGTCCACTTGTTACTTTGTGCATCATCTTTGAGTCTATAATAGCAAATCTTTGGATATGTGTTACAGAGCCGTACAGCTGACCTATGAAAGCCTGCTTTTCATCCTCTGTCCCAAGCCTGTAGCACCTTGGGAAGAAGGTGTCAGGATCTGCTGTATCAAACCACTGAAGGTTACGCAGGTTCACACAGAGGCCAACCTGAAAGAAACCAAACATATGTTCATACTGTACGAGACACAGCAGTAGCTGACCTCTCTTCAAAGTTTAAGCTTGTAAATGTGCCATCAGTCATTAGATAATATTGAGACCTTGGTAGTAAACGTCCCAGAATTTGCGTAGTGGTTGGTCATTTGTTCATTCCGTAAGGAGCGAAAGTCTACGTAATCACGACGTAGTGTCCAGTGGAAATATGTTGTTTCATTTCGAACCAGGCGAGACTAGAAATGGTTGAAGAAATTAAGTTGGGTGAGTTAGAATACATAGTGTTATGGAAAAATACAAAGGGAGGTGAAGTAATGGTAAAAAAACCCAACATGGCTTATTTGATTGCTTCAAGACGTCCGTGTGATGTTGATTCACTAGATGGTTGTCTTACCATGAGGTCATACATGTCATCAAGGTTCTCCTCTTTCTCGCCTTCACCCACTCTCTCTGGAAAGAGATAAGGAAAGACTGTGTGTGCGCGCACTTGCTTGCAGGCTTATACGAGAAGAGGGGTGTGTTGAGCGAGTACATGTCATTGTCATAGATTGCTGTCTGTAATGTAGCACACAATGTAATTCATCCTGTGTAGGAGTATCCATGTTTTCATCTAAACTAGTGCTCCAATTAGGAATTTGTCCTCCGTTCTCTCACCAGTAACCTCAGCACTGCCATCACCATCTTCCTCCCTGTTGCCATGGCAATGACTGGCTCTCTGGACCGGATGGGGGACACGACGTTCCACCCACCCTCTGGCCCACAAGGCGGCACGGATCACAGGGTACGGTCCCTGCACTGAAAACACTTTCTTCAGCTGAGAAATTGTGAAAGAGAGACAGAAAGGGTCACATGGAAATGATGAGTTCTTATAGTGACATCTTACGTGTAGATAAAATCACCTTGACTGCTTTTGCCACTAGTGCTTTAGCTGTTTTTAGCCTGTCTGGCTTGATCGCTGGCAGGGTCGGCACTCTGCGATGTAACGTCCCCTCCACGGGAGCCACTGTGGATTGTTGCAGAGAGAAACTGCTTGATTTCAGTAAATAACTAACTGTGAGCACAACACCTGGATGCATTTGAAAAAGCAGATCTCTATTCACTTACGTGACATTTGTTGCATGGTTATATACTTCTCTGTCCAGCCGATCAGCAAGCAGTGCTCAGTTCTGACAGTCAGACAGACAAAGAGAGAGATAGATGGATAGATCTACAAATGCCTTCTTACCATTTCCATACCTCTTCACTGTTAGACATGGTATCCTCAGCTGTTGAGGAATAAACATTGCACATTTGTATTGTCCGAAGGAGTCATCTAAATCTGGACAGAGCTGACTGAGGCTTTCATAACTTCTCATTGACTAAAGTTAGCCATTTGCAAAAAGGGGCGCTTGCACACACGGATCATCAGATAATATGAAAGAATATGTTTTTTGAAGAAGCATGCATAGGGTAGGAAATACGTAAACAGAAGGCTTGGGTTACATCCATGTTGAACGACCGTTGACTTCCGTCTGTCAAACATTAAAGACTGCCCTGAATTTACATCTCAAACAAAAGCAGCTGCGATCGTTTTACTGAGCGATATTATACAAACCTTATGTTGTCACCGCCGCAGTGACTCGACCACTCTGCCCAAAAACTCGCTCAGTCCCCCGTCCTTCACGCTCTCACAGACCGTTCCCATAACAACCGTCCATGCTCCCACAGAATGTTTATGGTTGCCACAACAACCTAACCCAGGAGAAACAGGACACCGTGGAGGACAATGAAAAAATCCACCACCTTTCTATGGGGTCAGATCAGTCTCAATAATTGCAAATGGACACTGAAGGATTTACAAATACATTTCAATGCACACATGAATAAATTATGATTTATATTCATATTTGTAGATGCTTTACATTTGTGTGTGGGGTTGTTGAGACTCGTCTGACGTGAATGATGGCGATGATTGATGGTGCAAAATCTGCATACAAAATGGGGTAAAGATATAATTCTATGCATGGTGTGTATGATGTATGATGTAAATTGAAGCTCCCCAGCCACTTCCAGACTAGAAGATGCTCCACCAGGACATGATGATGGCCAACAGTTCTTGTTTTGGACTGGAATTCCTATTCACATATGCCCTAGTTTCTGAAGTTCTTTGATGATTATTTCATTCAAGTGTTCAATACCAATACAGTTAACCCATACAAATGACCACTTCCTTGAACCACAGTAAAGCAGTACATTCTTTTGTTTTTTTATTTTTTTTAATGTACAAATTGTAATCAAGAAAGACATGAGTAAGAACAATGCAAACTTCTAATTAAAGGCTCTTACGCCAGTGTTAAGTAAACAAATACAGACAATACATGTTCTCTTCTATGTCATGTCATGAGCACTTAATAAAACTAAATCCTGACAGCATGCAAGCTGTAGCTTGGAGGTTGCCTCCAAGATGTGTTCCAGTCTATCGTGCATATGTGAAGGATGTCAGCCTCAGTGATTCCTAGAGGATAGATGCATAATAAACATGATAAAAATCTGTGTTACCCCCCCGCGACTCTGTGTGCAAGATAAGCGGTTTGAAGATGGATGGACAATCTTTGAACACGGTAACACAATCTAGTCTGTTTTACTTATTATGGTTTAATATTAAATTCATGTTTTAATGTTTTAACAAGTGTAGACCATTAGAAATAAACTGACGACCCGGTTCATAAATTAATAAAATGAATTTAGTGTACACCAGGATACAGCCATGATTCTGAAACTATGTAATCAATAAAGAAATGAGAATAGTGCAACACCACTGTCATTTTGAAACTGTAATTAATAGAATAATACCAATGCACAGCTATGATTATATTCACTGTAATGTAACCAACCGAAATGCATGTATATAATACTTGATAACACAACTGATATTCACCGAGAAACATTTACTGATCTGTATAAAAACCTGTAGGCACCCATTGTTCTGGGAGTAAAGGCTAGTTTATGGTTGTGCGTTTTCAGAGAGACGCAAGGACATGCACAAAAAAGAGCCCCTTGCGTGCTTTTTTTACCCCTTCTTGCTTGCGTCGACCAATTTCTCTAGACTAGCGTCAAAAGCTACGCAAGCTTCACGCAGCCCGCAAGACTGTGATTGGTCATCTAACTACATCCTTTCCGGAGTCTCACATTTCTGGTTTCATAGCACAATACCGCTATTTTTAAAAGGAAGATTTTTGTAGAGAGAATGAATCAGTTTGGAGAGAGAATGAATCAGATTCAAGAGCTTTTGTCATAAGAAATACGGAAATGTGACCACTTAGACAACCTGTCATTGGCGGACTCTAAGGACGCACGGATGGCCTCCAATTCATGGAGGGAGATCTCCGCAAACGTCAGTAAATAAACGTCATTCTCATGGAGATGAGTAAATTGCAATCACTTTCAAGCAAACCAGATTGTGCCATCAGAAAAAACAAAAACATTTTTTCAAGATAATATCAATAAAGTGCAACCTGTGAAAAACAGAAAAAACTATTTCACTATAAAACACGTTTATCAGTATTAGTGGCTGCAATGAGCCGGCTTTCTACTACAAATCTTTTTTAAACAGGTTTGCAGACTTAATATGGCCTTTCAATTCATTCTCACGGTTGAGCTAGTTTTGTAAGAGGCAACAGCAGTCCGTGTACTTTTTACTTTTGTAATATTGGAAGTTCTCAAAAAAAGTTCTCGGCATACAACAATTGAGAATATCCCCACGCGACCCATCTGTAATACCACTGCGGACCACTAGAGGGTCGCACCCCACAGTTTGAGAAAGCCTGCTCTAATGTGAACACTGTCTCGGTGCACTTTACTCGTGTTGCGTAACACATACATGCACTTTTATTCGATACACATTCAAATGTGTAGACACATCTTACTAAAAATGTCTGGGTTAGTTCCACCCGACCATTTGACGATGCGGCGCCACGAAAGCTGGACAGTGTCACGTGGTTTTTGTCCACGCGAGGCCAACGTGGAGGTTACTCAATTTCAAATTGTTGCTTCCTTATTAATACGAGCGACAAGGTTTGAGGCAAAAAAACATGTCATTCCATGTAATTAAAACTATTATTTAGTACCAATAATACCATATACCACTGCATTTTTATATACATATACATACGTTATTCTACTTTTGCTCATCGTAAATGTTGCGTTATTTTTTATTTTGCTCTCTTTTTCCGGCCACCAAATAAATTAAATATGACCTGCGTGTAGAAAATAAAAATAGGAGAAAAAAACTTAGATCCGCATGGGTTTAAGGCTTTGGATAAACGCAGAGTTGTTCAAGGTATTAAGCTATGCTCAGCAATACTTTGCACAATGGCGATATCCAGCACCCCGTATCAGTAGAAATGTGAGATGCTGCTAAACTAGACAGTGTATAGAGCAACGCACCTCCACCAGTGTATAAAAGCCTCGCTGTATCGCGTTGGGTAGCAGCAGTGCGTTGTAGCCCGCTGTGCGCCTCTGCGCTGTGATTGGCTGATGCTGCAGCGATGCTCTCTGCATCCTGCTCCCACAGCACGGGCAGAAGGGAGGGAGGCTGCAAGCTCTGACGGGAAATGATCACAACACTGTGAGGGATAAATTACGCCTTTTCGTCGATTCCCTGATCAGGAACAGATTTTTAAACTCACCATGCCCGCGCACCCAGAAGCAGCTGCTGTTACCAACCCGTGACCGCGCGTCTTCAAAAGGTCCTAAGACAGCGCTGAGTGGCTGACCGCCCCCCCTGAGCAAGTCTCACCTGTGTATTCCGTGAGACACCGAGCGGGTTCACAAAAAAGCCATGAGCGAGCCCGTCAACGACCCCGGGAGCATCCTGAGCTACCAGGTAAAGCGCCCTTTAATTAAATGTCTACCGCATGCAGTGGTGCTTCGGCACGGGCCACGCTGTACTCCAACAACTGTAGCCCTCACTTGGACATCCTCCAATAGAAATTCATCATGTTTCATATTGCAGGAACTGAAATGACTTTTCTTCGCCCCTATTGTATTTATCCATGCATGTAGAATGCGGCAGTGTTTTCACATATTTGCACTTTTTTGTGGTTTTAAAGGGACTCACGTTCTCCATAGATACGAGATACTAAGTAGTATAGGGATTTGCACCCTGCATGACGACGTTGTGTGCAGAATATGTTGTTGAGACTGATGTTGTGCGGCGCTAACACGTGCCGTGATCCCGGGGCGCGTTTGGCATGGCGATGAGTGCGTTCCAGCTGCGACGATTGCAGCTGGTTATTGATCGGGCACCGATTTACTGTAAACACATTAAAATGTCAACCGCCTGTACTGAATTCGCTTGTGTGAGAGGAATAACAGGAGCGGCGCAGTTTGCTGGCTTTTCAGATGCCTTTTTGTTTAAACCGCGTGCTATTTTCTCAATTACTCTCAAATGACCTTGACGCCATCCTTCAACTGTAACATGTAGTGCTCATCTGCTCCTTTCGATATTAGCTAATCATGGTTGCAGGGGGGGGGGGCTGTGGCATCATCCTTATGTGTATGTGTGACTTATTGGTCGACGAGTTGGAGGGAAAAGAGCATGTAGTGGACAAACGGACCAGTGAGCACACTTTGCAGTTCAAGATGTCCCCGCATGGACGGGTATTGTTGCCATTCACCCCTCCTGAAGCCAACGGAAATAGCGCTGCTGAGGTGTCAAGTGGGGAAAACAGCAGTATGAAGATGCACATGAGTAGAGGTCCAGTCAAAATCCACTTAGGGGGGCCAGCAGAAGGGCACTATATCCACAGTGTTACATTCTTTATGTGTAAATTTGTTAACTGCACTTTGCAGCTCTGGCGTTGGTGGTTGATACAGGTGGCTCTCACACACCATCATAGATTCTGCTTCTATTTTGTACGTGTACCAAAGAAGATCACGTCTAACAAACCCTACAAAGGTCGCTGCAAACACGTCTAATGCCATACTGTTGCTTTCTAACTGCCAAGTTGACAGTCCATATAACAATTTGGATGTATTCATTCCAGTACTTTTGGACACTAAAATACTGACGGCCCTCACGGTGTGATTATGTGGATAACACGGCCTTTTCTCAAGTACACGTATACTGTACAGTCATTCATGTCAGACTCTTCATTTTCAGTCTGAATTCAGCACTTTACTGCCCCATTGATGCATAACGGATACATACCACTATATTGAGAGAAGACTTTAGAAGACCAGTGATTCTCTGTATTTAGATGCTTAGAAAGCAAAGAGAATACAAACAACAAAATCAACGACACAATTACAAACCACGCTGCTACATATCTCTAAGGAGACTGTGACTCTCATTCCAGTTTTCACATCATGAATTTGACCCCCAATAAATTGTTTACTTTTTCTAGTAGCTGTTTTCATTTAAATTAATTTGGAATCTATTTTGGAAAGTGAATAATTCCTAATAATTGTGTAATTTTAAGAGCATAACTGTAGTTTTGTACAAAGAGTCCTTCTGTGTAATGTAATTAGTAATCTGTGTAAGTACTCAATACTCCACATGAAGTTTAATACTGTTATACTAAAACAACATATGCCGTAAGGGACCAATTCATGTGATTTGTTTATTCTGCTTAGAGTGAAAGATCCAAAGAGGTTTACACTCCCCAAGAGGACAAATATGAGTCGGTCCACTTGCATTTCACAAGAGTGTTTTTGGTATTGAATGACCACAGAATCATTCAGACCTTTTTCTGGTCTCAATTGGATTAAGTTTTGTGTAAAAGTGTTACTCCAAAAGCAGTTTTAATTTCATTGTACCGTCGCTCACTCAACCCACTAAGGCTGTCATGTGTTTATGAAGAAAACAATTGGAGAGCGAGGGCGGCGCAGAGGCGATGGAAAAAGGTGTGTATGACTCATGCTACCCGTGGGCTCAAGCAGTCAAAACAACCGTGCCTTTCATCCAATCTCCTGCAGCTCTCTCGTTTTTCACCAGTACCTCTTCCTTTCATCCATTCATGCCGACCCCGAGTGCAGCGCTGAAGCACCGTCACATGTGCGATGAAGGGGCAGCGGTAGCCTGCCGCCTCTCAGACATGAAGCCCATAGTCTGGCCTGGAAGTGACAGGCCCAGTTGTCTAAGTCAGGATCTGTGTCCCTGCTGTCGGTTCAGGGTGCTTGTGGGAAACGAGGAGCGTGACGTCCAAAGGGTGGGGGAGGGGAGGGGGGGGGTTGGTTGTGGACTGACACTGAAACAAATGTTCAACAAGTGCCTCGTTAGAACAAAGGAGATCATCATTACTATGCGCTTTTATTAATCTAAAGTACCATTTGTGGTCTTGCAGCGCTCCCTGTTCATGTGGTTATTGGATTCATTCAGTGAAAAATCACGCTTGATCATTTTGAATTGGTTTCCCCTCTGAATTTCAAACATATTCATAGCAGCCCGCCTGAAGCTCCTCTCACAACTCCCTCACAGTCCCGGTAGAGTGAAAGACATTTTGGCGCAGCGCATTGATTGACCCTCTGTCCGGAGACTAGGACGCAAATCATTGCTGCTCTACTTGTTCAGGGCGAGGACCAGTTCAATGGGTTTCCCTGTTGTGCACGTTGAAATGACCTTTTCCAGTCAGCAAAGTCTATTATATGTAAATGATGTGTAATACAATCAACTATATATGTTTTTACTCAGACAGCAGTAGTTTAATAATGTATTACAATTTCTCTTCTTTATATGCTGAAGGAGATCCCTAATTTATGATTTACATATCAAGCCAATGAATGAACCTGTGTGTTTATTGGCATCATAGGACGCTGTGTGCAACTGAAGCATCTTATTCTGCTCTGGGAACCAAACGTCTTTCTGGGACAATCTGCTCTGCCAGAAAATTCATCTTGTTTTCGTTTAGCTATCAAACGTAGGCGAGTGAAGTCATCTCTTGGCCTCTACATGATGAGATGCTAAATTGGGAGGCCCAAAGCCATCGTCTAAACGTGTGGTTATTATCAATAATCATTTGAAAATATGTCATTATAGACAAAACATTTTTGCAACAAACACTCTCTGTAGAAACACAAAGAGGGAATTTGGAGAAACTAAATATTATGGGCAAATAATATGTGTACCATGTAATATGCCACTAAACCAAAACATAACTTTCTACCTGTAATGTTGCTTGCTTTCATTTACTCACATGACAGTATCCTCAGGTCATTCGATTTGGATGTATAAGGTGATTTATTTTTCTTATATCTGACCATGAGGCAGCTCCAGTGCTTTTCCCATGGATAAAGCTTGTAAGGGACGGAAACTCAAGGACACGCAGCTATTTTGGGGGCTACTTGTGAACTTGTATGCACTTGTATGGTGCAGCAGCAGAAGTCTGTGAGGAAAATCACTTTAGGTCATAAAGCCTGAAAAGCACTGTGACTGATCTAAAGCTTGACAACAGGAGCTGATTAAATAGGGGTGGTAGCTAGGTGATAGAAACAGGCGGCAGCAACTCTTAGTGGATAATCACGCACACGTGCGTGCTTTGAGGGTCACAGATGTGCTCACCCACAGAGAGGGTGTAAACTAAACTTTAAGTGCCCTGTGAGGTTTTAATTAGCTGAAGGACATAACGTGACACACGGGAGGGGAGGTATGAATGAAAGGGAAACATTAACGTGCATTTACCATTAGGGAAAAGGTGAGCTGAGACTTTGTGATGTCAGTCATATTGTGTTATGGTGAGCTTGGACTCAGAAGAAGGGACAACATATCAGGATTGACATACAATAGTGTATTCTGATGTCAGCCACAAAAGATTACATCAAATAATATATGTTGTGTATGTGTGCACCATATGGATCCAAACTAATCAATGAGGTATTGATCTAAACTGATTTCAGGGACACAGAGCTTTTAGTGTCTGTCTGTCATCCATTCTCTCTTGTTGTGTGTCTGTTTGTTTGGTACAGCTTCAGTTCTAATGGACCCAACTGCCTCCAGCCTGAACCCAAACGCACACACTACACAGCAGCCCTGATTCACCATCCACAGCTGCACTGACTGATAACACTAGTGTATGTGTGTGTGTGTGTGTGTTTGAATCAGGTCCAAATGGAATCGATTCGCTGAGGGTTTGCATGCACAGGGTTTATTTTCTTCTTTTGTTTTAAATAGCTATATTCCCTATATATAGCTCTATATAGTTATTGTTGTTAATACAAGTAGAAATTGAGTCTTACTCACAGGGGAAAGACAACCCGAGTTGAGAAACGCTGGTGAAAGACACTTTGGTTTCGGCTTCTATCTGCTTGTGTTGACTGCAGGGACGTTAAAGATAGTCTTGTTTTAACCAGCCCCCATGTGACGTTGCCAGGTTTTGTCCTGCATCCAGCAAATAGAAGTGCAGTGAATGAAGGTCACGCCTGCTGCGAAAGACATGCTGGACTCTGAAGCCCCAACACGGCTACATGCAGCGCTAAACGCTTGCTTATTCATATTTAATGTATTTAAAGTCCAAATTGGACCAAATTGGACATGGCACTCTCGTGGCGCATCAGGAAAGTACCAGCCAAGTGAGAAGTAGGACCACTTTTACAGGAACAGGAGACTGTTGTCACATGTACTGAATATACATATTGAAAATCCTTTTTCTGTCCCCGCACTACCGTTCCTTGTATAATCCTAATGATGAAACCATGAGTCACATTTGTGTTTGGCCCAAGCATGACTTCTTTAGCAAGTGCCCTTATTCTTCACAAGGAGAGAATTTTCTCCGGATTAAGAAGTGATCAGTCATGGACAAAAAAAGGAATCCTACAGCAGGGAAATGGTAGAGAAAGGATCCGTGAAGGCAGTGCCAAGCCACCCACACCTGTGAATTAAGTGTGTGTCTTGCGATACCAAATTGGTTTTAAAAAGTTGTGTGAAATATAAATTATAAATGATATGCTGATATAGAGCGATTGGTATAAAAAAAAAAACAACACCGCTTTTTTAATTTCTTGCTTTTAAACATGTGCATGTTAATCTTCTTATCACAATCTTACTTTATTATGCTAAGCGGTTCTTTCCAGTCGGCTTAAACCAGTGTGATTAAATAAGTGGAATATAAACAGCCAAACCCCAGGAGAAGCAGAACTAATCACTATACACTCTTTCTTCACACACTCACAGTAATACACACAGTATAATATACACTAATGTCTACATGGTATTATTGTGCAATTTTTGTTTTATGTCCTGACCAGAAAAAAGGACCAATCAATCTCATTAATGGTCAAACAAATTTACATTTCTCTTAGGACAATTCATATTTTTCTGCTCCAACATTTTCACTTTCACCCCACTGACACACCAACACATCCAATACGTGCAGATCACGTCTTCAAAGCGGGCGGAAGCATTACGTAGAGATCTGCGTGTAACCATACTTATTTATAGATCTTTGCTATTGATTTCTAACAATGTTCAGATGTTTGTATACCATCCATCCTGTTTGTGTAAAGGGCAAGGCAAGTGAGTGAGCCAAGTGGTTGGTTGAATAAATGTATGCTTTGGTATACTGGTAGACACTCTGCCTCTTTAACTGCACGTAGGAGGTTCCACAGATTAGACACAAAAACAAGATTTACTCCTACTCTGATTACACTGGAGGGATGAAGAGTGATCCTGAAAACAGAGACGCTGCAGCAGCACAGACATGCACAGCCACAGCAGAGGTTCCCTCAGCACTCCGTCCACATTGTCATAGGGCAACACATGACCATTGCCATTACATGAACACTCGCCCTGCACTCGGGCAAACGCCACTCTCTGTCTCTGAGAATGACTCAATGCGGGGATGCTAAAAGACAGCGATATCCTGCAGCGGGCGCCTAACAGCAGGGCTCCAATGCATGTGGATCTCTGCTAATTTGATTTGATTTGATTCCTCCTTGATATTAGAACCTAGCACATTTTCCAACCGACTCATTCTCTGTTTAACTCTGTGTGTCTGTGCCAGACTATCTGAGAACAGACTGTCTGGAATTTGATGCACACTGTTGAAAGGCTGATAAGTGGCTCTTTAATTGTATTGGTCGTCAACAGGAGACTTCTACTGTACATATAATGACCTCTTAAATATCTGAAGGTTTTCTACAGTGTTTAACTTTTCCATGAGAATGACATGCTGCAGGAGACAAGGGGCGTTATAAAGAAACGGTCACTGAGAACAGTGGCCTCATGTTTACGTGTGGTTTGTATGTGTCCACCAGAGGCCAGATGAGGAGGTGGTGGTGGACCAGGGAGGGACCAGCTCTGTACTGAACATCCACTATGAGAAGGAGGAACTAGAAGGTAATTAACCTGTGCAGAGGAAAATACTGTCAAACTGTTTCCTTAAGGTCCTGAAGTGTAAAATATTTACATTGATGTTTCAAATGCTTTTAATGGGATACGCTTTTGTTTCTCGCAATTATTCTAATTCTGCGAGATATATTTTTGTTCGAGGAAAGCATGTAACATTTGAGATTTACCGTTTATAAAGAATTATGTATTTTTACACAATACTATTGTTATTAAGTTATTAAAAGAATATATTTCCTCTGTTTCTATTGTGTTTTTACGCATTCCCAGGCCATTCAACCTTCACCTTTGGTTCCTTACGTCTGTTATTGCACAGTATGTCAGTGGCACAGACAAAAGATTACAAACATGTAGGTTTACTATTGTCATCCACAACAATACTACTATTATTACTACTACAATTATTATGCCAAATTATATCGATATGCACTATTGTACACTGATATTGCACACTTTTGCGCACATTTCATTTAGTGCTCCTTGTGACTTCCTTTCACACCTGCTGATTGCAATTAAGCTGGAGAAAATACAAAGCTGTGGTTCACAGTTTATTTATAATTTCTATATATATAATATGATACTAGATAAATATATTTTATTGACTGTTCCAGATGGCCATTTCTATCATTCTTTTTGTGGGGCTGGGTAGGTGAACATGGTTACAGTGTGAGGTGTCTTGAGAACATGGGGATGTGAATTTGTCTTCTTTTCTGGTGGAAATGAAACGAGTTGAACATCAATAATGAATCTACCCAGAGGAGGCCTTGTGGGTGATAAGTTATCAGTAGGTGGAGGTTGTGTGTGTTGTAATGGTCTGATTATTTCAACTGTTTATTCTTTAATTTTAGACCGCTTTGATATTTAAACAAGATGTTATTATTGTCAGCATCATGGGCATTTTGTCTCCTGTTGTCACAGCATGTGGCATTCAAGACTGAAAGCCCTGGTGATAATTACTGATAGCAAAGGTTGAAATGTTACAAACTGTGATGAAAGCAAAATGTTTTACCAGGTTTTGTAAGAATAATAAAAAAAAAGATTATTGAAAATGACCTCATCAAATAACTGGCTGATTGTGACATTTCTTTCAGCAGATTTACATATATGCACCTCAGCATGATATCAAATAGCTCCAACTTTTGCATATTTATTTTACAATAAACCATGACACCAAGGACATGAAGGTATTATTCAGTAATAAAAAAAAATGAACTTCTCGCCTCTTTTTCAGGCCACAGGGCTCTTTTTGTCGGGGTTCGGATGCCCATGCAGAGCCATCGTCACCACAAGCCTCACGGCTCTCGCCACCGCAAGAGAGACAGAAGGGCGGGAAGCATCGCAACACAGCAAAGCGAGGAAAGTGAGACGGCCGCTTCCAGTCATGGTAACACACACAAAACTTCTTCTGAGACAACTCCTTTGCTGCAGGTAGCTTGTTGTGTTTCTTTAGACCTACACATACATATTGTCTTGGCTGAGTGTAGAATATGCACGCTGACTTTCACCCCTGCCAGAGACGAGGTGGTTATTAAATAAAACGTATCAATACGGCTGGTAAGTCTCACACACACATCCTGCCCCCCGAGGCTGAAATCGACAAGCCCACTGATTATCTCGCAATATGCAGGGACCAGTCTGCATGTTGCATTTGTGTGTGTGTGTGTGTGCATGTGCCTAGATTTGTGTGTGTTTGTGTCAGTGTGTGCGTGTGTCATTTAAAAAGCATGTTGTGACAAAGTAAATAATGTTGCTCGTGAACCACTGTTCACCTCTCGTTCCTCCCTCTCATCATCTCGCTCCATCAGACACGCCGTCCCAGCGGGTCCAGTTCATTCTTGGCACAGAGGAGGATGCTGAACACGTGACCCACGAGCTGTTCACTGAGCTCGATGAGATCTGTGTGAAGGATGGCAAGGATGCCGAGTGGAAGGAAACCGCCAGGTCAGGGTTTCCGCTGGGAGCTTTTGGCAAAAATGCTTAGCAATAGAGCTTCAGACAGGCCAGCTGCTCTGCAGCTATCTTGTTGTGTACAAGCGGTAGTTCAATAATAACTTAATGGATCATTTTGGGGTCCTTTGCTGACAGTGACATTTTTTGTCAAAAGCATTTTAATTAGGGAATGGCAAGACCCCAGTGTAGCATGATGTGATGTAAGTTTATTAGGTATATTAATAGGGATTTTCAGGAAATTGCCAACCTTAACTTTAAGAAACCTCTTCTTCTCGCTTCTTTTGAATTTGAGTTGTAAGAAATCTGATGACTAGTATTTTAAAGAAAAACACTTTACATTTACTCCTCATTGCAAATTCCTCACCTGCCTTCACCTCGCAGGTGGCTGAAGTTTGAGGAAGATGTGGAGGACGGTGGGGAGAGGTGGAGCAAGCCCTATGTCGCAACACTTTCCCTCCACAGCCTGTTTGAGCTGCGAAGTTGCATCATCAATGGCAGCGTATTGCTCGACATGCACGCTGACAGCATCGAAGAGATTGCAGGTGATAATTTTTCTAACTGACATGCAATAATACCAGAGCGCTATTTGTTTTGAGTGAAAAGGTAACCTGCATCTGAACAGTTGTATCATTGGTGTAAATAAGCTTCTTCAAATGGATAAACTATTCCACCATTGGATTTCCTATCTTTCTCTTTACTCTTTTCTGAAATCATGTCTTGCTTCTCTCCTTGAGGATTTAAAAACAGACACCGAATAAACTATCTAAGCACAACACTGTCTAATGTCATTCCACTAGCGCCATTAAGCTGGATGTTTTTTCTGTGGTTGTGCCTTCCTAAAATAATGCGGCAGAACTTCTGTTAAACCTGATACGCGTTGAACTCTACAATTACACAAAGCTGCCGCCTGCCCAGTCCAAGGTCATTGAGTTTGAAAGTAACTACGCAGCTGTAATTTGTATGCAGAAGCACAATTGGATGAGCACTGTTCACATACATGTACATACACACATAAAAAAAGAGTCACATAGTTCAAGGCTCCCTATCAGTCATTCTTCCTCTTCCCTGATTGGTCTGGTTGCCGTCTCCAGCTCTCCATCGCTCTTCTCGCTTCACTCTCTTATCCATGTGACAACTGCCAGGAGCACCTGGATAGGAATGCAAGAGCTAGAAAATGCCAGCTAGTAAATGAGAAAAAAACATTATTTATTTCTATACTTGTTTGATTTTGGAAGTGTGGTAAAAAATGAGACCTAGAGAATGTAATAAGAAAGGCTTCATTAAATTTGTAATCTAGGTATTATTGAAAGTATCTCATTATCGGATGAGCAACTGATGGTCACCAGTCATGTGTTACACTGGAGGAGGCGGAGGTGTTGCCTGTGGATAATACGTTTAACGTACCATTTGTGTGTTTCGATTCAATTTCAGGTGGTTCTCTTGTCACCATCCCTGATTATATTGCTGCTGACAGTCACATTATCGCTGGTCTTGATGCAAGCTCAGAATTAATGCTGGCACTGCACTGCGGTGTTAGTATGTGTGTGTGTGTGTGTGTGTGTGTGTGTGTGTGTGTCCGGTAGACACTTTGATTAACTGTGGAGTTAGGAAGGAAAGATCCGGTGCTGATTCAGCGAGTGGAATAGAAAGGACTGTGAAGAGAGAAGAGCAGACGGGATGAGAGAGATAAAGAGATGGTGGTTTTCCCAGCGGTCCCACATGACTTGATATGTTGCCAAATTTTGACTGATCACCTCCAACACAAACTTTCTTATCAGTAAAGTGCCTTTACATACATTATTATTACATTTTAACCATAGAAATGAAAGCATGTGAAATATCAAATAAAATATGTCATAGTTCAAGGAAGGCTCTGTAGTTGGAGTGCAGGGATTGTTTAACTAAGTTATTAGCCACCTTTGTTTTTGTGTTGATCATAAGTGGATTAAAGTTCTGGTCAAAGTAGCAGATATTGTTATTTATTTACTGGGTAACTTTACTAAATCTAACCTTAAAATTTTCAATGCAACACACCACGTAAAAATCTTCCTGGCCATTGCAAATAGATATTGCTATAAATTGTCAAATGTCAAATTAACATTTGGTTGAAGATGTAGCTCTCTCTTTTGGGATTAAATAGAAAATCTGCCATGGCATCAACACAACGATTGTGTTTATTCTTGTATTGGGGATGTGCTTGAATATGTTCTCCCCGGTATGAGATGCTGCTCTGTGTCTCTCAATGTTTGGTTTACTTCTGTAATTGTATCATCAATGTGGTTCATCTGATTTCAATGTTGAGTGGTTTGTCGTGTTAATTTATGCCATTTGCCAATGTGTTTGTCCTTGAAAAATAAAAAGTTTCCTTTTTAACAACAAAGTAACTTTAAAAAAACGTTTTAAAAGTGTGTGCGTGTGTTTCTTGTGTGTTGAAGACATGGTGCTGGACCACCAGGAGGCGTCCCATGAGCTGGACGACAGTGTGAGAGTGAAGGTGCGTGAGGCTCTACTGAAGAGGCACCACCACCAGAATGACAAGAAGAAGAACCTGATGCCCATGGTGCGCTCCATCGCAGAGGGAACCCGCAAACAGTCGGAGACGTATCTGATGGGTGGGTGACACACATTTACTTATGACAGATAACTCCTTGGTGTGACTCTTGGGTAGAAATTCACTGTTACGGATTTAAACTACAATTACTTTTGTACATCTGCCTACAGGTACAGCCTTAGAAACATGAGTTCTCTTATAATTACTTTAGAGGCATGTTTGCTTGATATAATAATTACATACATATCAAAATTAGAAGGGAATACAAGTAGACACACAAAGTGACTAATAGCAAGAAGACTAAGCAACAGAAAGACACATAAAAAAGCATGATCTCTAAGTGACAGTGACATTTAATTAGTAAGGTACTGAAGGCCAATGCCTGTTCCCGAATGAATGGGCAGCTAATATTTATTGCCCTTTTTCCCTTTGTCAATAAATATTTCTATTTCTATTACTGATTTTTCTCTCTCTCTCTCTCTCTCTCTCTCTCTCTCTCTCTCTCTCTCTATCAAACACACATACACGCTTGAATGCACACACACTCCACCTTACTGTCTAGCAGGGCCCCCCACATCTTCCCAGCCTTCAGTGGTCTCAGAACCAGCCAAAAATGGTGGAGGACAGGACGCCCAAGTGGACCTCAGCAAAGTAAGTATACAGACAGTTATTAATGTGCTGCAGTAAGTTTGCTCACAGTTTATGTTTATCGGTAGATATTATGAAGACCAAAATAAATATACATATACATACACATAGGGCGGCACGGTGGCGTGGTGGTTAGCACTGTCGCCTCACAGCGAGAAGGTCCTGGGTTCGATTCCGCCCAGTGGCCTTTCTGTGTGGAGTCTGCATGTTCTCCCCGTGTCTGCGTGGGTTCTCTCCGGGTTCTCTGGCTTCCTCCCACAGTCCAAAGACATGCTCTGGGGATCAGGTTAATTGGGGACTTTAAATTCCCCATAGATGTGTGAATGTGAGTGTGAATGGTTGTGTGTCTCTGTGTAGCCCTGTGATTGGCTGGCGACCAATCCAGGATGTACCCTGTCTCTCGCCCGAAGTTGGCTGGGATGGACTCCGCCCCCCCGCGACCCAGCGTGCAGGATAAGCAGTTTGACGATGGATGGATGGATATATACATATATAGAGAAAGGGGTTGATTAACAACAAACAACAGCCTGAGTATAATCCTTTTATATCAGGTCAATACATGTCTAGCACCCTGCTATCAATAATCAATGTTTGGTGCATCGCGCTGTCAACATATGGGTTACATAGCGCCCCCTAGGAAATAACAGGAGAACTAAGATTTGTTCAAAGTGCATCCAACAGCAGCTTCAGCAAGGGTAAAGATAAAAGCTTCAATTTATTCATTTCCACCAGGAATTTTAGTGTATTACAGTTTAATATCCGGAGATCCTAGTTAGCTTATACAAGTTTCAGGATGCAAGAATCGTAGTGTACCATTGGTATTAAATCCCTTTTGTCTTCTTAACTGATGTTATCCTTTTATTTGTCTCACAAGGTGGACATGCACTTCATGAAGAAGATCCCGGAGGGCGCAGAGGCCTCCAATGTATTGGTAGGAGAACTGGACTTCTTGCAGAGGCCCATAGTAGCCTTTGTCCGCCTTTCCCCTGCTGTGCTGCTCACCGGACTCACTGAGGTCCCCATACCTACCAGGTAGACAACCACAATGATCCTTTCATGAAATCAAATGTCAATTGAGTAATCTGGTAATCCATGTCCTCTGAACCATGTGCTGACAAATATCAGGTTCCTCTTCATTCTCCTGGGCCAAGATGGAAAGGCTCAGCAATACCATGAAATTGGACGTTCTATGGCAACCATCATGACAGATGAAGTAAGAACGCTCCGACAAGTAAAAGCTATGTTCAGAAACAACAAATCAAATCGCAACATCTCTATTGAAGGGCATGCAGTTAAGTTCCCCCTGGCCTTAATTTTGTTCAAACCAGATCTTCCATGATGTAGCCTACAAGGCAAAGGACAGAAGTGACCTGCTGGCTGGAATCGATGAGTTTCTAGACCAGGTGACGGTGCTACCACCAGGAGAGTGGGACCCCTCAATCCGCATCGAGCCCCCAAAGAGTGTTCCCTCCCAGGTACACAGCTATGATGAGATATGTTTGAATTTTGGCTCAAACTTAGATGCAACCAAGAGTGGCTGTGTATATATATGTAAATATGGAGCTAATTTTGATTCCTGTTCCTGGACTGGTATTGGGTGCCTGCAGGAGAAGAGAAAGATGCCAGGAGTCACTAATGGCACCGCCTGCCAGGTTGAGGAGGAACTACATGCCGAGCATCACGGACCAGAGCTACAGAGAACTGGAAGGTGAGCTGTCATCTGCAGGTTGATTACACAGGCTTGTTGCTTGGTGTCATATTACAAGGTTAATACATCATCTAAATTCAGGGTTTGACAATTATTATTTCATATCACCAAAACTGGTATATTGGGGCAAGCTGTCCTCAAAGCAGCCTGTGGAGAACCAGAGTTTAGCACCTGTTTAGTTTTCTGAAGGGATATGTAAAAGCCTGTGGCGAGTTGGCACTCTCCAGCATGTTTGTCAGTTGCTGGGCCCAGAAAATCTTTGTTTTGATTTGTAAAGAGCTGACGTGAAACAAAGCACTGAAGCTTTTATTTTTTAAAGGCTCTCTTGTTTTGTTGTGTGGCATGATTAGGTTGTTTGGTGGTCTGATACTGGACATCAAGAGGAAAGCTCCGTTCTATCTGAGTGACTTTAAGGACGGTCTTAGCCTTCAGTGTGTGGCCTCCTTCCTCTTCCTCTACTGTGCCTGCATGTCTCCTGTCATCACTTTTGGAGGACTGCTTGGGGAGGCAACAGAGGGACGCATCGTAAGGACAGAAATATACTGACTTCAGGATTATAATTACAGTATGGAGTGTTTAACTGGTTACTGGATACCAGACGTACCCTTTGTATTTCCACCATGTGTTTTAGAGCGCCATAGAGTCCTTACTGGGTGCGTCTATGACTGGAGTCGCCTACTCTGTGTTTGCTGGTCAGCCTCTCACAATTCTGGGAAGCACAGGTCCTGTGCTGGTTTTCGAGAAAATCCTCTACAAGTTCTGCAAGTATGTATTGCAACAACTAATCTATGACATGTTATCATCAACACCGCACGTAGTTGTCAAACTAATTGTGTGCTCCCCGTCACCCTCTCTTCTCTTTTCAGGGACTACGACCTGTCCTATCTGTCTCTGAGGACTTGCATCGGCCTGTGGACGGCTGTGCTTTGTTTTATTCTGGTTGCCACTGATGCAAGCTCTCTGGTGTGCTACATCACTCGGTTCACAGAGGAGGCCTTTGCCGCCCTGATCTGCCTCATCTTCATCTACGAGGCCTTGGAGAAGCTGGTTCACCTGGGAGAGGTCTACCCCTTCAATGCAAACAGCGATCTGGACAAACTCACACTGGCGTAGTGAGTAACACAATTCTCCCTCTGCTGGCTCGTCACGCAGATTTCCTATTTTCCATTGATGGTTAATTTTTCTTCATATTGTTCTCTCTACAAGTGTCCTTTCACTTTTTGGCTTCACCTATGTTCTCTCCACGTTTCTGCTCTCCTCCACAAGCCTTCAGATCACATCCTAGAATGCCTTCATGTCTGGCCTAATTGTAGTGATGCTGTCTATTCTCTGTAGCTGTAGATGTACAGAGCCTGATAACCCCAGTAATAAGACCTTACAACTGTGGAGTTCGAAAAACATCACAGCATCTGAAGTACCCTGGACCAACCTTACTGTCAAGGTAATGCAAATACGTTGAATCACACACACACACAAACACACACACACACACACACACACACACACAAACAAACGTTAAACCCTTATCCCAGTTTGATTTACAGGCACACTTCTAAAATTTAACAAACCCACTCACGTTCAATAACCTTGCACTGTTGTTTGTTCAACTGAGCACACCAAAGCCTTGGCTTGATTATTATGTATTGTAGTCTTTAAGCTTTATACACTCAATCTTTACAGGAATGTGTGGGTCTGCAAGGCCACTTTGTCGGGACATCATGTGGCCCCCATGGGCCCTTCACCCCAGATGTTCTCTTCTGGTCGACCATTTTGTTCTTCTCCACTTTCCTCATGTGTGCGTTCCTCAAACAATTCAAAACAAGTCGTTATTTCCCCACCAAGGTAATGGACATCCTCTCTAAGCAAAGGTTTCACCTGTCATTCACAAACCTGACATGCCACATTACTAACCACCGATCTCTTGGTGCTGATATCTCTCTTGTGTCAGGTGCGATCCATGATCAGTGACTTCGCAGTGTTCCTCACCATTGCCATCATGGTTCTGCTGGATTATCTAATTGGAGTGCCCTCCCAGAAGTTGAAAGTGCCCAACAAATTCCAGGTATGGAGGAACTGAGGATAAACGTGGGACCTTGGTATTGGCGCCACGTGGTTTGGTTTGAATCATGGCTTCCTCCATTTTGTGATCTTCCAGCCTACCAGAGACGACCGAGGTTGGTTGATCAATCCAATAGGACGCAACCCTTGGTGGACAGTCCTGGCGGCAACTATTCCTGCTCTTCTGTGCACCATCCTCATCTTTATGGACCAACAGATAACGGCCGTCATCATCAACCGCAAAGAGCACAAACTGTTGGTAAGAGAAGATACACCTGCCTTCCACTGCAGCTTCCAACTGAAGCTGGAGAGCAAAATGTGTACATGACCCGCCTTCTTCCTGATTTGCAGAAGGGATGCGGGTACCACCTGGACCTACTCATAGTCGGAGTGATGCTGGCGGTTTGCTCTATCATGGGCTTGCCCTGGTTCGTGGCAGCCACAGTGCTGTCCATCTCTCACGTCAACAGCCTGAAGCTGGAGTCGGAAAGCTCGGCTCCAGGAGAGATGCCTCGCTTCCTGGGCATCAGGGAACAAAGGCTCACTGGCCTGATCATCTTCCTGCTCATGGGCTGCTCCGTATTCATGACTGGAGCTCTGCAGGTCAGTCAGACAAGCTATGCGATAGTGCTGTCCCCCCTTGGCCGGTAGATATTTGATAATGTTCGTTAATGTGAAGCTAATTGATGTTTTTTGTTTTTTTTCCAGTTCATTCCTATGCCAGTGCTGTATGGGGTTTTCCTTTACATGGGAGTGTCTTCATTAAAAGGCATACAGGTAACGCAAATTGTGACACAGGAACAATATCCTATGAGGAAAAATTAAAACAAAGTTGTTTGCACCCCCTAGTCCTAGTGTCAATGAGAGTGTTTTGAGAGTTTGGGACTTGACAATATATCCAGATATGTGTTAAACTTATACTATATTCAAACTGATTGCTTCAGCTGGGAGTCATTTACTGTCCCTGTGATGCCATTTCTGGATCAAATGAATGAATTAGTCTGAACAGTTAATTGTCAGACTAATCATAATACTAATACTAATAACAAACTACATTTACTACATCTTGCCATGTTCACCACTTTTCCCCAATATCGGCTCTCATTCATTTATCTCTCTCTTTTTTCATCTCTGTCTCTAACTTCACCAACTGCGGTTACTTCTCAGTTCTTTGACCGGCTGAAGTTGTTCGGCATGCCAGCGAAGCACCAGCCAGACTTCATCTATCTGCGTCACGTCCCCTTGAGGAAGGTGCACCTGTTCACTCTGACACAGCTCTCCTGTCTGCTGCTGCTCTGGTTCATTAAGACCTCACCTGCTGCTATTGTCTTTCCAATGATGGTGAGCTGGCTACCATCAATGTCCCCTCGCTCGCTCCAAATGTCTTCCATTTAAAAAATAAAAACTGTTTTTCCTGTGCCCAAAGGTGCTGGCTTTGGTTTTTGTTCGCAAACTGCTGGACTGTTGTTTCTCCGACCGAGAGCTAAGTTACCTGGATGACTTGATGCCTGAGTGGAAGAAAAAAACCCTTGATGATGTTTCCAAATCAATAGTAGAGGTAGTCCGAATGAAATCTGGAAATACACATATGGAGATAAATAAACTTAAGCATTTATTGACTGCACTGTGGCATTGATGTGTCCTGCAGGAATCACAGATTATGCTCAGTACAAAGAGGGAGGATATTGCTGCTGTTCCGATTCCCGCGGAGAGCAGCAAGCCTATTCAGACCCCAAAAGCACATGACCCAAGGTAAGCTTACACAAACATACCCACAGTTACTGTAAGTGGACACAATGGACATCAGATAATCGCAGTGGTAAGACTGTGAGAGAAATCCTTCCCCGTGCTGTCTATCTATATGAACACTTGTCTTGTTTGTTGTATGTGATCTCCGTGCAACCATGTAAATACTAACTGTGAACCCTCCCTAAGACCCAACAATCCCAACACTCTTTTGTCTGCCCTCCCCCTCCTTTCTTCTCCCTGCTCCTCAGGTGTGACCCCTCTGATATTAATATATCTGATGAAATGTCTAAAACCACTGTGTGGAAATCCCTCAACTCTAACCAAAAGGACATTTGTCCTGTATCTGCTAAGAAGGCAAGGCTCTACCCTCTCTTCCCTCACCCAGTTATCTCGAAATATTCTTCCTTCACATTTAAGTCCCTTACTTCTTTTGTGCTTTGCTGTTGCTAGAAGGATTTGCAAAATGAGGCCAGCTAATCTGTGCTCTGTGCTGTGTTAACTCTGGTTTTGTGTGTTTTTCTCTGCAGGATTGAAGGGATTGCGTTCATAGACGAGTAAAAGATGTACACATGTCCTGGACCCAAATACTGCGCAAAGGCGGCTTTGATCATCAGCCACTACAGTGCTTAAAGGGAAAAGGTCTTGATGATGTTAACCAGCTAACTGCAACACATAATAATTTCCATTAACACACAGACAAGGAGACGGACAGCGATGGACACTTTTATCTTTGCGAGGACTATAAATATTCTTAAAAGCGTGTTTCTCTCAAATAAGAACTGATTCCAAATCTGATCACTTGACTAGAAACAAGCATCAACCTGGCCAACAGTGATCTTATTTTGACTATAAAACGGTTAATAAACCCCTGGTCTTAACCATCGTCTTGCTATTGAAACTTCCTACTAAACCAGTCAGGGATGACATCTCAAAGTCATTCAGAGTCACTGTTCTGTCTTTTCCCAGAAACCTAACAAAGAAGTCTTGGTGGTTTGTTTTTAGCTTATTGGACACTGCTGTTGTTTGTCTATAAATATCAATTTTCCCAACATCAGTATGATAGATCATACTTATCTTTCTTGTAGGATGGATGTTTCAAGTGTTACACTGGATTTACCCCAAACAGCTACCTACTTGCAATTGAAAATGTTCCTATGACAGTGAAAGAAAATAGTAAAGTCATGTGACCGGAAATCCAAACAGCAAAGTCAGCTGTGAAGAGTTGCATGATCACTACAAACGACCCCATTAAACTAGAACCAATCATGTGATCAGTGATGCTTATAACAAAAATTCTCCCCAATATTTGTTCCTCAAAAAGATAGAAGAACAGCCGCACACATAACAACAAAGATCTCTCAACTCCCCCTTTTCACTTTTTGATTAGAAACCCCCCCAGGTTTCAGATGCCGCTGCACACGCCATGGTGTCCAGTAAGTGCTTCTTTAAATCAAAGCAAGCTCCTTTTAGTAATCTAAGTACATTTATTACCCAGGATCAATTATATTTGTATTTAATGTGCCATGAGTATGTCCCTTTTTCTAATGGTGATGATATGGTGAATTATTTGGTAGATTTAAAAATACTTTGCAGGTTCAGTAATACTTACTATTTTGGAACATAAAACTTTGTGTCAGTTTTGTGTGATGATGTAAACTGAAAAAAGTAAATGTTAGAAGACCCACTTCAGTTGAAGCAGTGGCATCAATAACGTATTTTTTTAAGCTGTAATCTTTTTCCCTTTATGGACGTTTGTCTTTGAACTGATGATTGTGTACGACAGAGGTTGTTCTGCAGAATACCTGTCGCGTGTTAGTACTGTCTACTGTCTTATTGTCTTATTTCTTTACCTCAGACAAGTTCATGAATGCTCCTGCAGGGCACTTTTGATGACACCAGTTCAGGGGAAACCAGAGCAGATAAATGGTGTGTGTGTGTGTGTGTGTGTGTGTGTGTGTGTGTGTGTGTGTGTGTCTTTGCGTGTAGGTGTATGGGTGTGAGAGAGTCTCTTGTGTATCAGGAAAGGGTTGCTGCAGGACTTTCTTTTAAGCAATAATTTACCCCACGTCCAACCCAAATTGACCTTACTATCACTATTTTTTTTTTTTGTGCCAATGCAACATTTTTTATCCTCCCCAAGTGGTGGTTCAGGAAATCACAGAACACTAAAGGCATCTTGAATTAAAAGGATATGTTTTGTTCCTACATTATGTGGATGCCCAAGTCAGTTTGGATGAACCAGGTTCAACCGTATTGTGCTCCACCTCATTTTTATCAGCCAAAGGAAACAGATTATTTTGTGAAATGACCTTCACTATAATTTAGTCTTTAGCACTTTCTGTAAATAAAGAATTCTATTCTATATTTTATTTTGAATAATACTATTAAGCATTTAAATAATTTAAAAAAAGCATTATATTGAATTATTTTTAGATATAAAATTACATTAATATTATATTATATTATTACATTATATTATCATTATTATTATTATTATGTGTGCTCTTTACTTTCTGTTTATGCTGTAATACACCACAGATGTCACACTCTTGTCCTCTATGGACAACCTAGAGAACCTTGAATCTGCTCATTGATCAATCATTGATTGCTTTCCAATTTAGATGAAAATGAACAGGACTAATTATTAATATTAATTACATAATGTCTACCTTTACTTTTGCTTCCACATTGACAGGAAATGAGGGAGACAAGATGACATTTAACAAAAGTCCCGGCTAGACTCACCATTCATTTGTAGAAGGATCTTTAGAGACATTATTATTAGTATTCAAGCCATCATTGATTTATTAGAGTCACGTTTTAAATCTGTAAACTCCTTGACATACTATCCAGTTAATTGGACTAATCCACTTTATTGTCCATTTTAACAGCTACATCATCCAGGGTACACATAATTTATTTTTAAGTGACTTAAAAGTGCACAAATGCAGTAATCTGACTGTGTAACAATACGTGCAGTAATAACTACTCTAAGACGGATATGAACACTTTACTTACTTTACATTGTGTTTGCTGTCATGTATCTCCGCTTTGACTTTTGAATGTGAATGTTCCTTTTGTCCCCGAGGACTCATAACTAAATTAGCAAATGGCATGAATAAATATTATTCTTTGTGTAGATAAATATAATCTAGTTCATATGAATAGGTTCAAATTAATAATGTGTAAATTTAGACTCAACCAAACTGTGGAAACACTTTATAACATCCAATGACAGTAGAAAGGCTTTCACAAAAGAACTTAACTATTCAGCAATCATTCAAATATTTTCAATAAACATCACGTGTCTTTAAATCGTTAATGTAATTTTGAATGTATCGTAAACATACAGGTAAATGCTGTAGGTATACTGTGTGCAAATATGACCGGGAGAGTGTAACTTCATTGAACACATGAACACCTTTTTGTGCCATCTTCTTACCATTTACCTTTGATCATCTTACATCTGACCAAAACAAACCTTTTAAATTGAAGCACAGTTTGTTAAGAAAACGCCTCATTACTCTGATTTTGTATAATGTCTTTGTCACACAGAAAGAGTTTCTCTCCTGCTGGAACTTCATTGTTGTATGTTCATGTTGTCATTGTAGATACCATTGAAAGCTGTGCACTGTGTGAAGCTATGTACTTCCAAGGAATATTATACAAAGATTTGTTGAAATAAAAATAAATGGATAAAAGAGAGAGAGAGATATTTGAAAGCGGGAGGCTTTCAGGGAGAAGAGCACTTCTACTGCAGTAACCTTAATCATCTTGGAGCCATAACAAGAGCAATGCGTTGTCTCTTTAACCACTGAAAGATCAGTCTTCAGCAAAATAATTCTACATGTTTTGTATGTATATGTAATTTGATTTTGACAATGGAAAATAAATAATTACAGTTCAAATGAAATTAACTTTCGTATTACTTATTGCACCATTTATTTTGGGGATAAAGAGTTGAATCAGACAGTTCAAGCTTTAATGTACATTGAAGGAGTTAGTCCACTAGGTGGAAGTAGAGTCACAAGTATTTCTAGGACATTATACCGATGAGGACTATGCCTTTTAATAGTTCAAAAAAATTGAAGACTATATCATCGTTTTAAGAAAGAAAAGACCAGGTCCCGGATCCTGGAGAGTAAACACCTGAGAAATCTCAACTTCCTTTCTCCTTTGCTTTTCTTCCAATCTCTTTGAGCTGTTTCCACTTGCGTAGGACTCTCCCCTCCCTCCTTGTGCCCCAACCCTCCCCCCTTTTCTCCCCAAGGGGAGAACGCAGTGTGCACATCTGGAGGTGATTCTGTGTGCAAAGGAGTAGCCTGTGGGAAGGGCACGAGGTTAAAGATGCACTGCACCCTGTATGTATATATCTATGTGTGCATGTGTGCCTTAAGGGTGTCATATGATCCTGTCTCCAAAACTCTCCTGATTACAAACAGCTGGCGGGCTGTGGCCTGGACCAATCAGATGAGCTGTCTGGGCCATTACATCAGGTGGAAGAATGAATGCTGGAATAAAACGTAGAAACTTTTCAATTGAATTGAGGCCATAAATTGCTATTTTGTGAGCATGAATAAATCTAAACTTTAACGCTTTAATTACATCAAAGGAGAATGCTATATCACGCATGCACAAATGAGTATGTTACTATCACTATATATTCCTATATTTCTTTCTCTCCATTGCCACTTGCCAATTTATATTAATTTTGTTAATTTATTCATAATTATAATAAGCTGAATTTCCTTCAAAAGACGGACTAGGAGGATTTGGCAGTGGCACACACAAAATCTACCACCTAATGTTGTGTTCCCTCTCACAATAATCTTTTGTACTCTTTGGATGGGATCGTCCCTGTGAGCTTGTAGTCGTGCAAAACTTTACCTCAGTGGCTCCGCAACTCGTTGTAAGTCATAGTTTATAGAGAGGTTTTCCTTCCACAGCGCTCACAAACGGGACACACAAAAATGGCTTCTTCTTTGTTGTGAGCTTTAATGAGCATGATCATTCCATTACTATTTTATTTCTATAGTACAGACGGTTGGTGAGTGAATAAGACATAACTTCAATATATTTGTAACGCTGCCATCTAGAAACCTGCCAGAGAAGCTGGCTGCTCGCAGACGAGGCCCCCGCTTCCATGGTGCTCTTTCTGCAGCTTTGTAATACAGCGTTGGACAACTGTGGGGGGGTTGTTACGGTTTTTAAAAATGATTAGTTCAACAATGAAGATATTCTCTGTTGTTGCTGCTCTTAGGTGAAGCCTACAGGGGGCATCCCATAATTATCCCATAATGCATTGGGTCAAGTCTGCTGACAGATCAGATGCTCTGTTGCTGATCTCAGAGGTCACACACAACAGAATAACGTGACACTCAGCCTACCAAGTATCATGTAGATCTGTTTGGAAAGCAACCAAAATAATACTGTTGTGAGTGGAATAAATGACATGTTGATCATCATTTGCACTTGGATATTATTGTTAAAAATAAAAAATAAAGGTTAAAAATTGTTAGTTACATCTTATTTGGCAACTGTAATGAAATCTTTTTTTATCTGTGTCGGCTACAATGTTTATTTGTTCCCCTGATCCTAAAAGGCCTAAAAGAGCAAAATTCCAAAGCAAAAATTCAAATTCACAATAATACCTGAGATTTGATTTACTTATTTTATTTCTTTATTTCTTATTTTCTTTTGTATCCGTTGTTGTTGTTTTGTATCTTTTGTATTCCTGCATGGAAAATACTGAAGCGTTTATATTCTTGACAGGGAAAAAACAAAAGAAAATGATTGTTCATTGCATTTCTGAAGGTATACATACATCATTAAGGAGATCAGACAGACCAAAATAGTAAAAATAACTTGGATGTCAAATGGTTGTAAAACGAATAGGAAGTGGCCATGTATGGAGTCAGTCCTGCTTGGGATATAAATAGAGGAACGGAAGTTCAAATCACATATTAATAGAGAGTAGGGAAATGAGTAGACTAAATAACTTAATAACATGTTTTTAAATCTGTTTAAAATAATTTAGAGTATCTATTATTGGATTACCTATTTAGTCAAGGAATACATTTTAGAAATCTTTAAAGTTAAGTTATTTCTGTCCAAAAATGTGCAAGCAATTCATTTTTAAATTTGTTGTTAGGTATCAATGTTTAAAAACACTTCTATGCCTCACATTACACATTTCTTTTAAAATGGTGGCTGCGCAAAATTGGCACACTTGAATATGACCGAGCCATTGTAACTATTATCACTAAGACCTGTCATTTCTCTATGAATAGTAAAAAGGTCTATTCATCTTAAAGAGGCATTTGAATCAAATCAAGTTTTGTGTTTTAATCTCCAACATTTAAAATGAAAGGAATACAAATATAAACAATAATTAGGTCACAACAATCAAATATATAGTACATACATATACATGACAGTGTAGGCCTCCTACAAACTGAAATACAAAATTGTTGGTCATGTGTAAGCTCCAACCAAAACAACCAGTTTGTCTTCTTTTCCTTTCCTACGCTTCTATTTGACTGAGCTGTTGTCCTCTTTTCTCACTGAACAGGGGGGGCTCTCAGCTCGTCCCTCCCCTCCATCAATCTCTGTCATAAATCTGTCAAGCGGAGAGAAAGGCAACTGCTGAATACAGATTTGTCAGCAATTAATCTAACCTCTATTACTAGACTTGGATATTGTGTTCTCTATACCAGAGAACAATAAGCCACTCTAACATGGAGCACCGTGCTGCATCTGTGTGTGGTGTGCAATCCTGTGTGTGTGCAAGAGGGAAAGCACATGTGTGTGCGTGTGTGTGTGGGCGCATGCAGTAAGCTTCTTTAGTAGGCGTTTCAACTGTTTTGTCAATTAAATATAAAACCGTACACACAACCGTCACTATTTTCTTGCATAGCATTATTCGATTACGTTTTATTGCCAGTTTTTTAAAAATTACACAACAGTTAAAGCTTTTAGCATAGTTACCGGTTATTTAACATCATCTACAATTTGCCAAATGAGGCTGAGTATTTCATCTTCTGCACATGAGGAAAATGTAGAACACATAATGAATAAGTATGTGTGTACACGTTTGCTGGTGTATGTGTGTGTGTGTGTGCGCGCGCGTGCGTGCGTGCGTGTGTGTGTGCATATCAATGTGCTATTTAAAGGCCTCATTGATTTTCTTAAGGATGCAAATTAAAGTCAATATCATGTTTCCTCGACAAGAACCCAACAAAATCATCTACATTGCGAATAATGTTGGGATGTCTTTATTCCTGCATCGTCCTCTACATTTCTATCAAAAGTGCTTGTGTATATATATTTGTTTTTCCAACAAAACCCATGAAAATAATAAAAATAACATCTCATTATCCTTGCTCTCAACTTTGACCTTCCTACCATGATGACATACATATTTAAAGTCAGCTCACACATGTATACTATACATATACGTATACTACAGTTTGTAGTAAAACATGCTGAGCACTGTACTTTGTAGCAAATGTAACTAAACAGAAGTAGATTGAAGATTTGTTGGGGACTATTTTCAACCTTGGATTAATACAAATGTGGTGCTCTAGCAAGTATGTGTAGCAGATAGACATGTATCCATGTCGGTCTGACTCACTGGTGTGTTTTTAATAGCTTTTGAGCAACAATATAACTCTAAAGCAGAGAGGAATAACATAAAATCATTCATAAAGTGAAAAAGCACTTGTGTCATTGCCTGTGGGAAACAATACACCCATTTCCTGTTCTTTTTCCAAAGATGTCCTGTTCCTGTTTTTCCCTCCTTAACCACTACTCTCTCTATGCTGCTCTCCCTTATTTGATGTACATATAAGCATGATTTAATATATAGGAAGGAACATTGTTATCTGAAGCTACAGAATCGTTTGGTTTTAGAAGCTATGGGTCTTTGTTTCCTCCCGACGAACCTCTTCCCAAGTACACACACACACACACACACTCACATAATTATCATTACTGGGACAGTTCAGTGGAGCAGTAGGTCAGTGCTCAGCTGCTTGAGACTGAATTAGAGTGCCAAACAGCTGAGCTTCTCTGGGGTGCTATCATGTGACCTACCCCACCTACGGGGGCCAAAGGGACCCACGTGTAGAGTTACCATGTCCTGTTTCCAGCAGGCCGACATGTGTGTGCGTGTGTGTGTGTTTGTGTGAAAATCTGTTTCCCTTTGTGCTGTACCTGTTCCGGTAGTTTAGATGTAAGGGGAGTGACTCTCTTGTGCCTCTGCCAGTACATGTGCTCTCCAACCTGCTGATAGCTGTGCACTTCTGTTCATCGGCAGCACGCACTCTGTGGCAGTGTGGCTTCATCCCCACGGCTGCGTTGCCATTATAAAACAAGTACAATCTTTTGGCCACAAAACAAGGGGATTTAGAAGCGTTACTAAAAGTCAAGTAAGGAAACTCCGGGGTCACCTCTTAGTGTGGACAGACGTAACCGAATATATACGATAAAGTAGACACCTGCGTTTACCAAGTCATTAGGTCTTAGCAGTCACGATGTGTCCTGATATCCAGTTTATTCAAAAGTATTTGATGTCTATGAGAGAAATAGAGCTAGACTTGCAGCCTTGTAAATGAGTTAAAAAAACTCCAAAAATATGTCCACAAAATATGAGTGTTTAGTATACAGTATTAGAGGTGTGACGTATCAATCACAACCTTTTACACCTTCTGTTTTCACCGGCCCCACATACACGGTGTATGTGAATAGCAATGATATCCATTGGAAATCATACTGTCACACCTTGGTGGGGGGGGGGGGGGGGGAATCCTTTTTTTGTTGCAAAATACAGATTTTAAACATAAAGGTACTAGTGGAGGTAGTCTCACTGACCCGCTTTGGGCCACACGGATAGAAGGGGGGAGGAAGGGGAGACCACATCTGGGGGCTTCACCTCGGCAGTGAGTTTGTATCAAACAGCCTATTTTATCTATGATGAAAAGAAAAGCCCCCACAGCACATTTAGCATTGTTTAGATGTATTGTTTCCTGGCCGACACAAAAACAGCGTGGATTTTTTCAGTGTTCGTCAGCAGAGCAAGTAAGGGAGAAAGAGCTGAGCACTGCATTATTCATTACTGCTCACCTGATGAAAGGTTCTGTAACAAATCTTAACCCTCCACTTCTTCATGGGCCAAAAATACATGGTACTCTCAGACGTTAGTCGACTAGACTTTATGACTTGATGACCCTAGTTCCAGTAATCAGAAAGCCCAAAAACAACTAGGTTGGTTAAAAAAAATTTGGTTTAAATGTTTTGTATGAAAGCTATTATTGAAACCATGGTCATGCAATTATGTTTCAATAAAACAAAAGGAAAATTACAGCTTGAGCTGCAAAAGACCCCCTTCTAAAACACAGCTCACACATGTCAGACATGTGCCGGTGGGTGTGTGCGTGTGTGTGTGCACGTGTGTCTGTGCATGAGTGCGTACGTGTGTGAGTGTGTGTATGTGTATGTTTAGGGCCAACAGCAGAGGCAGTGTGTCCTACGGGGCCGTGGCTGTTTACAGCATAGTAACATGAGGAGTGGCCCAGCTCGTCCTGCCTACTGCTTACTCCAGAACTCTAAATGCAGAACCACAGCTGTGTTTCTATATGTATGAGGGACTAAGCAGCAAAATAACGGCTGAAGTGAAAGATTTAAATGAGCCCCTGGAAAGAAAACGATATCAAAACAGCATTATCATTTATATCAATATCAGATAGTCATAAATGAAGAAGACGGTAAAGTAATTTACCCTTCTTAGTGAAAGGGTTGAGGTCAATGTGGAGGTCATTTACTGCTGCCCATGCATAGTGTGAGTGTGTGTGTATAAAGGGGGATGGGTACCACAAGAATTAGGTAATATTGACATGGTTGTTTCAACTCCACCCTCCCAGCACCACTAAGATCAATCTATCAGATCAATAGAAGTCATTGAAAATAACTGAACTTCTCATGTGTTCACTGAAGGGGAAAATTCACTATTTTTCAGTAGCTTGTGGCACATATGCTCATTCATCGCACTAAAGGGCCACAATAAGCATCTGCACTTTTCACAAGATCATACGAAAAATGCATACATGCAGAAATTCTTCCATGCACAAACGCACGCACACACAGCAGGGGAAAACAGGCGGTGCTGTGACACTGCATGATTGGTCACTTTTTCCCTCTTTCTCCCTTCCTGCTGAAATAGTTTTAACAAAAGACAAGGAGAAGGAGGAGGGGGAAGGGTGGCGAGCTTGGGGGAGGGGATGTATGTGCTGCTCTGTTGTCACTGGGCGAGAGGGGGGAGGGAAAAGGGAGCTGGAGGGCGAGCGAGGGAGTGCAGGAGAGAAGGATAGAGTCCCAGAAGAGAGTACAAGCCGCTCACATGCACACACACACACACACAAACACAAACAAGACTCACGCACACATTTATGTCAGCTCCCCTGATGTACATGGATTACTTTCCAAATTGAACCACTCAACAAGCAGATCAGGGCATGATCAGGTCTGTACAAATTTGCTCACTTGCTGAAAAAGATTTTGCATGTATCTCCTTTGAGCAGTAATGACATTTTCTCTCCAGCTTCTTGGACATTCCTGTCATCTGAAATATTCTATATTCTCTATTTATGTGTGAAATGCCCTCTTTTTGGAGCTGTTTCCTCATCTGTACTTGCAGTCGTGTGTGATATATGTAGAACCAGGTTGCATGTCTATGCACAGTCATTATTCATTTTGTGTAAATGTATTCTATGTTAGACATGATGAGACTACAAGATCCCTCTTCCTGTTGTGGTTTGTATTGTTTGTGTTGAAACATGTAAAGCTTCAAAGAAGTAGGAACTTGTCTCCGCTTGCCGTGTGGTTTTGTGGTCAGTGAGTAAAAGCCCCCTTTCTCTGTCAGGGCATTTAGCTTCAAACTCTGTGTTGATCAGTAGCTCTGCACGTGTGTAAACATAAACAGACAGAAATACTGAGGAAAGCATACGTGAGCACATGAAAAGCTCTATATTTATTTATCTACTTAAGTATTTCCAAAAATGTTATTTTTATAATATAGTCTTTTTAATAGGGAAGTCAATATGTAACACACTTTTTGGATTATCTGAACTTCAAAAATGTATAATTCTCTCAAAATGTTCCCACGTTTAAGCTTTTAGTGGCTGCTACTAAAACAAACATCAGTTCTCAGTCACCGTGCCTTGTGGCTCTGACACTTGCATGTGTGTGTTCTTCCGTTGGCAGCGTCTCGGAGCGGTGTAAAACTGTGAAATGAACCATGGAGGGGTCCAAGCGGCCAGTCACTAGCCGATCCAACAGCCGCACAACCACTAGCAGCAGGGGAAGTCCGAGGAGGACCCACAGCATGCAGCTTGGCCCTCACTAGCACCAAGTGGACCTCTCCTCTCACCTGGGGCCGGGGCTGCAGAATGCTCAGTCCTGTCACCCCATACAGTGAGTCTGCACTTCTTTTTCCTTGTTATCTTTAATGTTGGAACTTTGTTGTAGAGCCGTGTCCACTGGTGGATTTATTTGGCGTGTTGTTGAACAGTTCCAGCACGATGGGTTTGAGTCTGTTTTTCCCGAACAGCTTCTTCTCCTTCTGGCTCCTCTTTTGTTCAGGACTGATCTCCTGTGTCTCAGCAGAGGGAGGTGAGGGGTTTTGGGGTCTCTGAGAAGTCATTTTGAGAAGGCCAATATGCCAATGACTTTAACAGCTGAGTCTGGAGGCTTTGCATTGAGGAATTTCACAGAACACAGTTCAGTCAATGTTTTTTCAGAACCCTGCATGTAAATATACTGGAGTAACAATTTGCCAAAGCACCACTGTCTGTCAAAGAGCAACATGAACAACATAACATATTTTATTATTATTTTCAATAATAGCCCTTGATGTTCGGGGGGACAACCTAACTGTGTCTTTATCTAAATTGAAAAATGTGTGCAACATTAGTGTGTAAAAACAGATTAAATGTGACACATTGCAGGAGAGGCCTCACTTGTATATGTGCTTATCATAGGAGGGTGCTATCCGGGCTGATTTATATCCTTATATTGATTGACCAGGGTATTGATTAGGCCAAGCTTTAACAGGATTACAACGCTAACCTGATTGGAATAATGCAACAGGAATTGACTATTCCAAAGAGCTACCAACACATATACAGAGACACTGGAAAACAGAAAAGAAGGAAAGAGTTTTCTGAGCGGACGGAGGTTTTAGTAACGTACATCCGTCAAATTCCTCTCTCAAAAAGACTCACAGCTTCTCGTTAAATTTTCCAGCAAAGATTTAAATAGACACAACCCTATGAAGCGTTTATTTTTTACAACCACAACGGCTTGAATGAATGAAGAGCACGCACACATACACACATGCACACACACACACACACACACACTCTCAAACTGGTAAACATCCCAGTCAGCTACATCTCATTACAGTCTTTGTCCGTAATGATGATGAGCAGTTTTAGCCCTTTTTAGCTTTCAGTTACCCGGATGAAACGACCCTGTGAATGAAAGACAGATCGTTAGTAACTTGGTGTCAGCAGCTACTCATTAGTCCTGTATAGAGGGACAAATAAACATCACCCTCCATCCACACACACACACACACACACACACACACACACACACACACACACACACACACACACCCACGCACACACATTAGTCCTTCATAGTAATCATGACAGCTTGTTAAGCAAATTGTAGCACACCTTAGATCCTCATTAGGTGTTATAGTAAAGACTTGCCCTGCTGCTGGTTGTAAAATGACAGAGAAAGAGCAAAGTGAAGGGCAGATGGAGGGGACGTGACGAGGGACTGGTCAGCTGCGGCCTGATATATGAGTGGACACAATAAGCAAAGAGGGGCCAGGCCACCCTCTGCCACATGTGTGTGAGCTAAAGGAGCGGGGGAGGGTAAAACTGACCACACAGGCTCGGACACATGGTCCCCTTTCTCTCTACAGCCAAGCAGAGAAAGAGTGAGGCTCAAGAAGGAAAGGCTATTTTACTTTTAATCAGAGTAAAAGGAAAAGTAAAATGATTTAGTGAGAGGAAAAGGAGCATCAAATTGCATAAAAACGTAGAATAGTTTCTCGGTGCGAGGTAAATATGTGTCATGTGTCTGAAGGACAAAAGCTGCATTCTGACTTAAATGGTGGTGTGATTTGTAGTTTATTTTAGGTGAAAGATGTGCAAAATCTGAATCAGATATGGAACAGAAGTTGATTGGCTGACGGCCTGGTGGACTGTGCAGGCCTGGGGAAAAGGGGGAGGGGAAAGAGGACAGAGGGTATCTCAGTAAACAATTTCCCACTGGCTATAGCACTTACACTATGGCACTTCTACATAACAACCACATTTACTCTGTAAGCAGGGAAGAGTGTGTGAAGTCCTTCTGTCCATTTCCACAATAATCTTCATCTTCAATCTTCATCCCATTTCTCTTCTGATGTGTTCGGCATTGATCTTAGAAGCAGTGGTGTGAATAAGCTCTAACTAAACCAAATTGCCCAATAATGTGCAAACAGCTGATAGGGTCATTTATCAGCGCTGTGAGTATGCCTGTTCTCTCCCTCCCCACCTTTAGCTGCAGAGTGGCCAGTGCATGTTGAGCGTATGGAGAGGATATGTGCTCTGTACGTAGATCTCAGGTTAGATTCCTGGCATTCCAGCTGCCTGACTCAACCGATAGATAACCAGCAGCTCCTCTGCCTGTTGGCCAGCTGGAGCCACACATTGCACAAAAAGCACAACATAGGAGTTCGCTTGAGTCTGTGTGTGCCTCTAGGTGTGCGTATATCTGAGGGAATGTTAGTGTTTGTTTACCGTGAGGGGGGTAAAAAGCTCTGACTGGGAAGGATTCCGCTTGAGAAGCGTGTTTTTGAGTTTTCACTCCCCGGCAAGCCTCCTCTGATGCCTCACAACCCCCAAATCCCCATTCCTGTTAGCCCCTTCCCCCACACGTACTTTCATCTAATTAACCCCTAATTACTCATACTGACCATGCAGTGGACCACGAGTCAAGCTAGCCTCCCCTGACACACAGAAAACAGCCATGACTTGCATTATTGTGTTTCCTTGAAGGACAAAACAATTTGATGCACGTGTTAATCATGCTATAAAAATCCTATAAATGTGTTGCTGGAGGCTGTTGACAGCTCATCAGAGAGTAACAGTCCATCTCTTTATTGCGTGGATCGGGCTTCTTTTTACACGCTATTGCCCCCTTGTACACATTTTGCTTTGTGGTGAAACATGAAGCCATGTAGCAATGATGTATAGGTCTTGATTAGGATTGAGGAGCTTAATGCTGTGATTTTACATCACTTCCTTCCGTATGTAGCTCAAATTCGACTTACTTGCTTGTGTCAATTAGTTACACACACACAGACAAGCACTTTTAAGTGTTATATTCATAGCAGCTATCACTTACTGTGGTGTTTCGGAGAAATGTGAACTTACCTCCTCTAACAACATCTATACGAAACTACATGAAATGTCTGCAGCATTGGTGCTTGGGATCTTAGTGTTTCCTTCTAGCCTTGTTGTTCCAGATCCCCTCTTTTTGAACGGCTTCCGACCGAATTATTCATCAATTCAAAGTATCAACCCACCGGGGGCAATACGTATGGTGTGTACCCTTTTTTTGCCGAGGTACAAAGGATTAGGCATTCCCATTCATTTAAATGAGAGAATGATCCCACCACATGGTATTACTCATGCAGTGTAACTTTATCACAATATGTTTCAATAGGTTGTTGCAGGAGTGAGGTTTGTAACTGCCCCCCGTGCTAATAATTTAACCGTACATTGTATGTTTATCTTTATTACAGTGGCATTTGACTGCGATGTTCTCAACTTCATGTCACAAGATCACTTAACATTAGATGTTGCCCCATTTAACTGATTGTAAACTGTACAGCAGTGATCAGTTAAATCCTTCTCAATTCATCTTATCCAGCAACCAAACTGCTGCAGGAATGATGTTGATCACCAGTATGATAATCACAATAATTAAGGAAAGCTGTCAGAGCACAAAGTGGGCTTAGAAATCATCTTTGTCTCTTGGTAGGCCAAGCATGGCCAAGAATAGAAGCCAACATGCGGTGCTAGAGCAGAGTTGGGGCTCCTTCACTCATCCCTCCCAATGCCAAAACCCGCTCCCCAATATCTGTATAGACACACGGATGTCTAATGCCACATCACGCGTTAACAGTAAAATCCTATTTCCCTGTAAATGTAAGTGTCACTTTCAAGAAGCAATCTAGGTCTTAGAACCAATTTTGTCTATAATAATAAAGCATCTGGAATGGGGATTTTATGTGAACATAACTAGCTAGATGCACACATGCATATATGGATCACAAGATAAAGAAAGCAGTTACGGTACAATACATATAAATACATTTTAAATAAAGTTACTGTATGTAGTTTTATCTGTAGCTGCCCATATGTTTGAAATAAACAAAAGCAGTAGGTCCTGTTTCAAACAGTCATTTTTGTAGCCATACTGATTTGTAACTACTAGATAATGTATATAAATATTTAAAAATCCATTGAAGAATCGAGGAAAACTATAGTTTTGTTGTACGACCTTGGGGTAAAGCTTTTATCAAAGTAACAAGCTTACAGCCAACATAAGTGGTGACAACCCAGATTTAAAAGCATCACACCTTTAATTCTTGTCCACAATTCTTGTCCACAATTGTCGCATGAACTCCCACAAGCCTTGTGTGCTCTAATCCTTCATTAGTCTCATTTAATTGGTTCTTAACCCGTCAAGACCGTCTCCAGTTCACTGTTCCATCATATGATCTCAGAAAGATCCTCAGTTTTCACATTATCTCGCTGCATTTTGATGAGTATTCCAGCTATATTTATCTCTCTAATGGTCTCTCATTCATTTGTGTAATTTATACAGAGGCATCAGTATTAACTTGATACCTCATTTAACCACGATCAGGAAGGGATATTGGTATCCTCACGTAGGGAAAAATGCAATAATTACGGTTGCGGGAGCGGATAAACACTCCCTCTTCAGAAGATGTTGTGAAGGACTCTCGTTTATTCTTTCTTCAGAAGAACCTTTTGGGGCTTGGATATTGACGACTGAGCCCTTTGACTGAAGGGAAATCTTTGCAACAGTTGCTTCATAGAAGGCATTGGGTTGGGGTTTAGCGGGCTTAGACCCACTTACTAATTCTACCATGATCTGTAGATTACTGAAGAATTCCTGTCTGATTATCAACAATTAGAATAATTGTTATTTGCAACCTTAGTCTCAAATCAAAGCAGCAACACAGCAGACAACCACAACACATTTCCTATGACGGCAAGACAATCATCCATGGTATATGTGATAATATCATGTCAGACTGAGGAGATGATTCCTTGAAAGGGACAGATAATAACAATTATTATGTACTTTAATCAAAAGTCACAATATAATTTTGAATATTTAAAACTTAAATGAGATGTATAAAAAACTGTTAAATCAATCGAAAGCAAAAAGACAGAAATAGAATGTATCAAGATTTTTGAGATATTTCAAACAAGCATACCAACAGAGGCCCTATTTGTCCTTTCCTGTTGGTCAAACTGAAACCAAAGCAGACACTTTTTCCTCTGTGCTGTAAGAGGGAAACCCCTCAGGCTCAAGCCTGGGATTGGGACAGTTTAATAATACTCTGCAATGCATGGAATGTCACCCTAATGCCAGTTCAAAAAGAAAAAGCCTGCAAAAGCCAATCAAAGCCCACAACCACTGAACCAGTGGATAACTTGTCTGTGTAAACGTTCATATAATCACACAAGGCACATGTGACATCTGACTTCTTCTACTGCTCAATTAGACACTTTTCTATGTGTTCATAGATGTAGTGGTCCATTCTCCCTGTAGAGTAAAATGTTTCCCCTCGCCCCCCCCCCCCCGGCTCCACCCACGCACACGCACCTCCTATTCCCCCTGTCCAGCAAACCCCTGAGGTTTGGGCTGAATTAGATCACACGCTCAGTGGGGGTGGCTTTGTGGACTAAGAGAGTCACAGAGACACAACAATGGCCCTAATGTGCGTGAGGAAAATGTAGAGGGCAGCTCGCAGGCTGATGGAGGCTTATCGTTGTGGAGACCAGGCTGGAGGCTATGTTGCCGGCTTCATTTAGAGATTAGAGCAGTTGTCCCCTGCTTGGATGAGACCGTGTAGAAGAGCACAGGCTAACCATTGACATGATTTTGGTGAAAGGGTCAGCTAGCCTTTATGATTACGAGAGATGATATTCATCCCCCTGATTCATAATGTGCCTTTTGAGTTTTGGATGACAGAACAGGAGAAGTACCTCAAATATCAGGTCCAGAAAAAAACCCTTACTATATATACTATACTGTATGTTTTTGTAAATTAAAACACTTGAAACTTAATTTCACGTTTGTGTGGACTAATTCAGCTGTGGCCTTATTTCTGACAGGTCTGTTGAAGATGCACTGGTCCCCGGAGCACGCCGCCCCCTTATCTCAGTGGCCTGAGCAGCACCTGGATGTCACCTCTACCACTTCACCGCCGTCTGCCCACAAACACGACCCCTACTCTGCAGCTGGTCGCCGGAGCTACGCCCCTGCAGGTTACCCGTGGGCCAGTGATGACATATCAGCCTTAACTGCTTCTTCTCTGCTCAAACGCTATGCTGAGAAGTATTCAGGGCTGGAGCTGTCCTATGAACGCCCTCCCACAGGGGCCTACTCGGAGCCTGGAACTTTCATGAAAACTGAATCTGAGCCATGGGCTCTGGTTCAGGGCATGGACTGTTACCCTGGACTAGAGGCATTAACCGGCACCAAGGTAGGCTCTGCATCTGTGGGCATCCCAGCCACAGGAAGTGTGACGGTGGTGAGCAGCAACTTGCCGTCTGAGCCGGGCTACAGTGGTGCTGGCTCCTGCAATGCCCCGTCATCTCAGGAATACCCTCCCGCATACAACAGCACCTACCTGTCTTCAGGGTACTGCCCTCAGCCCAGCCCAGCACTTCCCCCTGCCCCTCTGCACTCATTGCAGGCCACATCCACTCTAGTGCCCAACTACAGTGCCAGTACTCCTATTTACAACTACCCTGCAGGGTGCTACCCCCAAACCAGCCTGTCCTCCGGATACAGCCACCACAGTGCCTCCTACCTGCCCCCTGGGATTAGTGCCCCCACTCCTCTGGCCCCACGGCCCACCATGGTGGGGGGCAGTTACAGCTACCCGTCTCACGGCCTCGGAGGGAGCTCTGAGGGAGGTGTGCCACTGAAACGCAAGGCCTTTGAGATGGCAGAGGACGGACAGGAGGGGTCGGAGGTGGAGGGATCGCGCTACAGAAAGTATGGAAACAGCCATAGCAAAGGTCACGGCAACGGGCACGGCAATGGTTACGATATGAGCGTGACGGCCCCAGACCCACAGGCCTACAAATCTGGGAAGCCCATGATGTCACCCCCTTATGGCGGGGCAGGAGACTACAGCCCACCATCAGGCCTAGCAGGGGAGAGTGTGTCAGGGGAGCACTCCTTCCCCCAGCAACAGAGAATGTCCGTGAAGATACCTGCATCGCACATACGATCCGAAGACCCCGCCGCGGGGCGCTGAAAGCACTGGTCGGCATTTGAGAGGATTCACTCACACTTTGAAATCCAACCAGTTCTTGATCCAGACGGACTTTGGTCGAAATTGGATCGCCGATGATTTAATTTCACTTTTGAACAAGAGGGTCCAGGACTAGTATTTCTTGTGTATCTTTAACATTTTCATTATTCATGTTTTTCCAAAGATTCACAGGGGCATTTTGCCTGCTGAGGTTAGGGTAAGACTTAAGGGTGAGGTTAAGACACTCACTACATAAATAGAGCCAAGACAGTCTAAACGTGTGAGTGTCTGTTTCTCTCAGGATCCTATTTATTTGCTCCGGCTACTGCGGCGGCAGCACTGCATCCGCGATGTTGCTGTTGTGAAAGTTAGGTGTAATTATTTGTGGACGTTATGTATGAAAAAGGCTTTTGACTGCAGTGCACGTTCTACCACACCATGAAAATCATTACCGACCAAAAAGTAAGGAACGCAATAACTGAAATGGTGAAATCAGAAATCACCATAATCCTTCAGCACAATCACTGCTACTTTACACAGCTGACTCCAAGGCGTCGAGAAATGAATGTTTCCCTGCTCGTGCCTCGGTTTGCCCTCACCTTCACTCATTGTTGACATGTTTCAGTTTCCATAAGGCCCTTTTTTCATGTTCTTTATCTTATTCTATTTGTTGTCCTGCTTCCTGTTCTAAACCCTTTACATTGCTGAACAACTTTTGTTTTCCAGTTCATACTTAAGAAGCTGCTTATCAAATGATTACCTACAATACATGAAGCCGCCCCTTAAAATAGTTTTGATTGTATTTAGCATTCATACCAGGATGGCATAAGAGTATATTCACATCATCTTCAAAGAATGTTGTTTACTTGTAGATGTTTGTTGATCCTAAAACGACATCTGCAAATAAGGTTGCAGCTCACACATTTAAATTGCAACTATTACAATAAATAATGACAACACAAATCAACAGAACAAAAAAAAAAAAAAAAACTTCAGCAGTGTGAATTCAGCTAAAATTCAGTGAATTGTTTAAAGGTTCGAAAGCCTTTTTGTTACTTTTGTTTGGGTGCACAGACCAAACTAAGAAGATCGCGATTCTAAAATTACATTCTTTCTTTTTCTCTTTACTTTTGCCTCTGAAAAGGATGATTTATAGTCGTGTTATTGAATACTCAGGAAGAATATTGTTACCTCAGAATGATGAAATAAGAATGTATGTTATTACCTTTGGTGTTTGTAGGGAGCTTTATGGAGAAAGATGAAAATGGAGCCATGGCTTTTATTAAGAGCAAACATACTCTGAAATCTTCAGGGAAACAAAGAACTTACAAGGCCTTGATACTAACAGTTGAAAACACACGCACACACACACAAACAAACACACACACACACATGACACACACGCACACAACAAACGCACACACACTGCTTCTTAGCTCTGGGAAAATAAAACTTGAGGTTTTTGTACAAAGGCCTTTTGAATGTAATTCAGATATTTTTTTTAATAAGGACAATACCTGCCGTAATGTACATCAATAATGTTTTTAGATATATGAAACATATTTTCTTCATGTATAGATGTAATTCTCTTATAGGTTTTGGTGGAAATGAAAGACATGTTAAGTGTTAGGATAGTTAGCAGTGGGGAAACAGTGTTAGAGGACAAACTGTCAAAATGTCAAAATAAAGCACTCCTGATTAACAACTGTTGAGACATACACATATTACAGTATATGCTCCTTAGTAGGTTTGTTTATTAAATGTCTTAATAATTCATCTTCATTTTTTAATATCAGTTGTATAAAACCATTTGAAACAGTGTGCCCAGTTAATCAGCTTGATTTGAGCTCAAATATGAAATATCAATTGACAACATGAAGGGAGAGTTTAAAGAAATATGTGCACTGTCAGAAGATATGTAGAGAACTGTAAAGTTGTAGCTTTGTTACGCAACTCTTCCCTCGCTACATAAACTTTGCTGTACAAATATCTCATTTGCAAAATTAGACAAAACCAAACAAAAAGCATCCCCAGAAAGTGGATCCCCTAAAATAAATAGATTTAGGGTGTAATGCAGCTTCAGACTTAGTCTGGGAAAGTATTTTGATTTGAAATAATCACATTTGTAAAATGGAATTTGCTGAAGAAAAAAATTGTAGCTTCAAAATATGCTGGAGATAAAAAAATGAAAAAGGTTTTACACAAATAAGAATGTTTCCTTACCCCCAGATGTTAAAAGCATTTAAGCGCTTAGCTACAACAATTAGATTAGCTCTTCAATGTCAAACAAAGAATGTGATCCACATTAACTGCAACAACAGTATTCACTGTTTCTTGGTGTAACTCTGATTCATTGAAGTAAGTGGAGTTTAACCAACTGATGGAAAATGGCATTTCAGTAGTAACTTTGTAATTCACTTGTACTTTTGTTGTATCTTGTACATTCTCTGTAACCATTTCTACCTCATTTTGAATACATTGTACATGGAAATATTTATTTCATGACATTTCACATGCCAGTTTAAGGAGCAATGTTTATAATTCTTGACCTGTTATAGTCTACCTCACTAAAGACGATTGTGTCATTTAAATGAAGATATCACAACAACAACAAAAACTTTTTGTCTTATTTCTGTGAATGTTTTGAGGTTTTAGTGTTGTTAGAATTGTCTTAAATATACCATGGTGAGACCCTGACATTTGTTCCAATAGGTTATTATTAACCTATTATTATTTCACTGGTCCATATTTATTAAATGTTCCTAATACTATCCTCTGAGGTTTTCCAGGAACAGGATTTAATGAACCTAGAGCCCTTTAGTCAATAAACAGTAGCTCAGTTTAACCTAATTAAACAAATAAGAGGTAAATTAACCATTCCAAATCTACACTTGCGTTGAAATGGAGCAAATATTTCTAGAAGAGTATTCTGAACAGCAACAAATGATTTTAACTTCATCTAACTCAATAATTTAATCAGTATTCTTAGAAAATAGTCCCCTGATCCATATAATCTCTACAATTTTAAATTTTGAATTATTAAGAAATAATGGATCACCCAAAATTTTAATTTCTCTTTCAAGGATTTAAAAAATGAATATGTTGAGTCTGAATTGTATAACTGGTATGAAATAAGACCATGCGTGTTTGGTCCAGACCCCATTAGAAGCTCAAAAGCGCATAGAATAAAAGAACAGGAAGAGCAGAGAAGATGCTGACCTTCTCCTCTTTGACTCCGCCCTCTTTCCACAGCTTCATTGTGTGGAGGCCGGAGGGCAGGCGCTCGCGTGTGACAGATGTCCAAAACTTTTGTCCTTTCAACCACAGTGAATTCAGGACTGCTGCAAAGTCTGCGTAATTCACAAAACTGTTTTACATACAACTTATCTTTAACTATAATGATGCTTAGCAACAACCGCCAAAAGTCATCTTAAACCTCCACAACCTTCCTGCCATTGGCTATAAACCTGCAATCTTTATTTAAAACTTTTGCTCAGCTTCTAGTCCCATATACTACTCTCATCAGACTCACGTATCATTCTTAACACCTCAGCACAGCACGGCACACCTCAACACAGTTCTTTTCAAAATGTAAAAGAACTGTGTTAGATGGCAAAGTTTATCTTTAAATCTATTTCACTTTCAAATCAACTAAAGCTCCATCGCCAAAATAAATGGTCTCTGCTTGTTTAACAATTACGGTAATTTCTTCTCCAGCAATAGTAGTGGCAGATAACAAGAATAACAGTGACACCTACAGGGGATTATTAAAAAGTACCCTATTATAAAATAACTAACCAAAACAGTTTTGCTAAGTCATTCCCAACGTGTAATAAAGAGGAATCTAAATATGATGATCCGCACAGACGTTGGTTAAACACATTAAAATAGACAAATGGAAAAGTATTGCTTTTAGACTTCCAGGTTTGCATCTTTACCTCTTATTTCAAGATGTTGTCCTTCATATCTCTCCTCCGTCTTCTTCTTGTCACTTCTCGGCTGGGTTTAAGTTTACGTTTAAAAGAGGGATAGCTATGAAATTAGGTCTCTTGCGCCCGAAAGACAAGCACATTTCAAAGTAGTTTTTGTTTTCATGTCTTGTTGAGTCAAATAAGGACAAACCTACTAACTAAATCTTGTTTGTAACTTTATTTTTATATATATACTCCACCAGCCAAAGGGTTGTACACACGTTCTCATTGAATTGAATAAGAAAATGTGTCTAAAAGTTTGACTGGTACTGTACATATAAGACTCTTAAACAAAATAAAGAGTTTTTTGATAAAATAACAGTTGGGCCATCCCAACATTTGAATAGATGGGAATTGCCGGATAACATTTTTTGAATGATCTGACATGTGTCATGGAATTCATACAATTATTTTAAAAAGGAAGAAATGGACTCAAAATGTCCACGTCACGTCGTCGACACATATGCAGGCAAAGACAAAGTCCCACACTTGGATGCTAATGGTTTGAATGTAATGCACCTGTTGGAAAGGCTTGCGTACATATCCCTCAAAACACTTAAGTATAAGTAAAGTAGGCTAGAAGCACTTGAACAAGTTGTGCTCCACTTTAGTTGAAAGCAATCAATATCAAGAAAAGGATGACCTCATCTGTCTATACACTTTACACGGCCCATGCCTTTTAGAAATATCCCTACAGCAGCACATTTCACCATTTCTTTTAGTAGCAATCATAGTATCACATTTTAATTAACTCAAATGTTCCACTTTACTAGACTAGACCAGCAATGCCTCTCTGTGTTTCACCAGTACTTTCCTCTTGGCTCCCACCCAGTAAGACATACTGTCCCATTGCTAAGCAGCTTGTCTAAATCCTGCAAAATATTGCAGGTTTACTGTGAAGAGGAGAGCTGCGGATGTATGATCATAGAGATTTATGTTCTACATTTCATTTGTAATATTTTAAGGGTAACAGTTGGCGTGGTCACTTCAGGCCCCTCTTGGCCTGTGAGGGGCTCTTGTGTTCTTGAGGGCCGGAAGTCATGGGTCACTCAGAAATCTGACCTCTGGGCGTAAAGTAATGAAATTCCATTTATGTCCATTTACAGGTAGCCTAGATGTATGATTACATTATTGTAAATGTACAGGTTAACCAGTGAAGAATGTAGAACGTATTGTGTGAGGCCAGGCTACAAAATCTTGCTTTTAACCTCTTCATTCTAATTTCAAAGATTCAACAGTAAGCCCGGGTTACTTCTAGAAGACTTTACTTTTTTGTGCATGTTGAGGCTTTTAAAATAATAATAAAAATAACAGATTTTAATATTTTCCTTCTTCTTCTTCTCTTCTGTTGGTTTCCTAGGATATCTCCGGCCCAATTTTTAATCTGTAGAAGTGATGAAGCAGTCTTGAGTTATTTCCTTAAAGTCCCGCTAGAGGGTGGTAGATAGCTGTGGGAAGATTCTGAGGCACCATACTGTCTGCTGGAGTGGTTACAGCAATAGATAAAGGCTGTAATGTCTGCACAAGGATGAATAAGACTAATCCCAACTCTAAGATGGATCGGGCAGCGGACGCCCAAATTATGCAAACAAATGAGCATAAATGTATCACAAGTTTTGATTCCGATTGGGCCAAACAGAATTCGTTTCAATTCCTTTCTCAGCTAAAGAAACAATGTGAGAACTACTGAGCTCAATACAATATCAGGCCCACTCCTTCATTCATGTACCTGTGCATTTATATTTGACCAACGCACCTCGTTGTTCCTCTCATCTTCTGCATGCAGAACTGACATAGAAATAGAAAAACTGTAAGTGAACAACCACAAACTCACCCACACGCTTGATCACAACAATATTGCCGGTAACATGTAATTGATTCCTTAAAGAAAACCTCCCTCTGTATCCTTTACACGCACCTCCTTCCCTCCCTGCCTCCCTCACATAAACTCAGACAGCCCGGCAGATCACACCAATGTCCTACTTAATCCATTCCCCACTACTGCAACCAAGTCCTGCTGTTCAGATGGATGCAAGGAGGACATAAACCTAAAGGGGAAGAAAGACAGAGCATGCGTATACTGAAGAACATGTTTAACAT